CTTACACTAGCTATAAAATATAAATCCTTAAGTCCCAAAGTGGAGCCAAAAATAAGTCATATGGCCAATGAATGTAACATGTTTGGACAAAAAACTCTGACTTAGAAAGTTGAAAGTGAGAGTGGAACTCTTAAATAAGTGCTTGAGAAATGAGTATAAAATGATCGGTGAACAAGTCTCTAGAAAAGGACATTAGAGGGATTGACACATAACAAGTGTTGTGATATATAAAAGTGTTCGGACCGAGTCCGAGATAGAGTTTAAGGAGGAGTTTAAAATAGAGTCTGAAAAGGAGTTCAAGATAGTGTCCAAGATGGAGTCCAAAATGGAATCCGAGAAAGAATCTAAGATGGAGTCCAATAAAGATTGAAATTGAGTCCAGGATGGAGTTTGAGACAAAAACTGAGACTGAGACAAAAACCGAGACCGAATCCAAACTCATATTCAAATCCGAGTCCAAATACTAGTGGTTAGGGGGTGAAAGCCCAAAACGATTGTCAAACGATAGTAAGGAGAGTGTAGAGATTGCACTCCAGTGGAACCAATTTAGCCAAAAAAAGCCAATATGACATACGGTAATTTGGTGAAGTGTTCAAGAGGCAACTTTAACTCCCCCGAAAAATCGAATGGTCAATGCTCCCAATCTAAGTTTAAGTGGCATTACCTATTTGGATACTTCATTTTAGCCACATAATTAATGCACCCAAAGGCAATGTAAGTGACTAAATTTTCCAATTTACTTTAGTGACCACTTAGAGGAGTTTTATTCACAACCTCCATAAGTTTTATTCTGAACTTGAGGCTTATTAGCCCCGAGAATAGCATATATGCCACTCAACCTTTGCATTTGGTCCAAGTGCTTCACGTATCTGATCCCATGATCGACACCCCAAAGGTTCCATCAACATATCAGCCTATTATACTAAGGCCATGCCCATTCACCTTTGTCACACTAGTGATCCAACACCAACTACATCACAATCCCATCTCTCAAAGACTAGGCCTTCTATCTATAAGTGATCATCCCAAATACACTTCTTAGTATCCTTAGGATGCCCATAGATATGGGGAACAACCTTCTCTAATATCCATTATTTAGTTTTCATTAAGTCCCTTTTTGTCCATGGCCGTGTTTACCAACATTGCCACTGGATCAAGGCCCATAGGCCCAACCACTAAGTCCCACTGTCCTTTGGGACTTCCTCACCATGTGATTGCATCCTTGGTCACTACACTAAAGGATTATTCTTTTTCCTTTCCACAGTCCGGGATTTTAAGACAACATTTCGAAACATCATAACCCTACACCAAGCCTCATGAGTACCCACCTTCCACCTTTGGGTGCTCTAGCCATGGGGCTAAAACGAAGTTCCATTGAGCCACGCCAGATATCCAAATAAATAGTGCCACCACACTTAGATTGGAAGCATTGACCATTTGATCTCCTGAGGGAGCTAAAGTCAGCTCTTAAACACTTCACCAAGCTACCTACTTGTTTATCCATATTGCTAGTTTCGAACTTGTTCCTTGAGCCCTTTGTTAGGAGTTCCACTCTCGCTCTCGACTTTTCAAGTTGAAACTTTTAGTCCAAACATGTTACGCTTGTTTGGCTTTCACTTCGGCTACTACCACATGGCACCCTTTCGGCTCCACTTTGGGGCTTAAGGATTTATGTCTCACAGGCAAAAGGTGGGGGGAGTACCAATGAAACTTACATAGAGCCATAGTATTTTGAAATATCATCCTAAAGTGAGAAATGAAGAAGAGTGTACCTCTTGTATAGTGACTAAAGGTTTGGTCATATGGTAAAGAAGTTTTATAAGTCAATGGGATTTAGTGGTTAGGCCTTCGAGTCTTGACACACTGACAATGTTAGCAAGTACTATTGTGGATGAAAAGGGATTTGATAAAAACTGAAAAAAGGGATATTAGGAAAGGGTGTTCCCATATCTCTAGGCATCTTAAAGATGCTAAAATGTGGTTATGGGATAACCACTTATAGATGGACGGCCCAGTCTTTAAGAAATGGGACTTTGGTATGTATGGTTTTGGATCATTAATGAAACAAAGGTAAATGGACATAACTATAGTGTAACATATAAATATGTACACTAATACATATTTATATTAGTGTACATAAATATGTACACTAATATTTATATAAATGTACATATAACATACATTTATATGTACGTTTGGGATCAAACATATAAAGCACTTCTACTAAGTGCAAAAGTATAGTGGCATATAGGTTAATAAACGAGGTTAACAAGTCCCTAAATCAGAAATAATATTTGTGGATATTATAAATGAAACTCTTTCAAATGGTCAATAGTGTGGTTAAATGACTAAAGTATAATGAAAAAATTAATCACTTACACTAACTTAATAAGAACTCTCATGTATTGAGTTTAATTTCAAACTTTAATTACCTTTTATCCTTCCTTTCGAAAGAGGGAGATAATGTACGTCCAGCTAAATCGTTACAATGTTATATATTAATATTAGTGTAGTGGGATTTTGATAGTTATCGGATTGATTTCAATCTTCTTTTATATATAAGCTAGGGTTTTAAGGCTAATAGAATAATTGTGTATATTCTATTTCCATATTCCATGCACTCAAAATCACAGTTTATATTAGTGATTAATAATAAAATTAATACTAAATCATAATTAAAAAGAATTAGAGAGAATTAGTGATATACTTAAATATTTATAGTATATTCCTTACTCATATTGTCAACAGATTTAAAATCCATTAATTACCTAATCTTCTATAGCACTGGTGCTGGTTTTGATCTCAGATGGTCCTATCACCAAAGTTGCTTTTATTCGAGACTGGGTGGATCAACAGCTTTTTAGAATTTTATGTTATTACCTGGAGAGCTGTCAAAGTAGCAATGAGCTTGGCCAAGAGCTAGCTATTCATGTTTCTCAAAGTCATGGCATCGTTTGCTCTCCTTCTCAGCTTCTCCATGGTCCTGCTGCTCATGGGCACTCCACCACAGGCCACTGTGAGTCCATGATATTGTTCTTCTTAGTACTTATAGTGATGAAAATGTATGGCTTGTTTGAACATTGTAGGATTCAAGACCTCATGCCGCTCCTTGCCAGCCGTCAGCACGAAATCTCAAGTGCCAAAGGAGCACAGGCCGGCTCTATGCTCTGATGAGCATCGACTTGGCATGGTGCATCCAGGTTAACCCCAACAAGACGTTCACTTGCAGTGAGTTTTACCCCACAGTTTGGCAGTACTCAAAATTCAGCGAATTCTATATAGCAGCAGATCGCTTTTTCACAGAGTGCGATTTCACTACAACTTGCAATGACAAGGATGGAAGCGCTGTGACCAGCACCATTGATTGCCTCTATAACGACAATGGGTTTGCTTGAACAAACCTTTAAATTTAAGACTCCAAATATCAATATCCCAAGTTTGTGACGTGTCACTTTCACATTGTGCCACGTACTTAAAATGGAATGTAGGGTTCTATCATCCCGGAGCAGGCGCAATGGTGTGGTGTGATCTTTGTTCTTACACTGATATGATCTCTTTCTCTGGCAGGATCTAATCGTCGGCGCTTTCAAATCGCCTTGCGTGATCGCGATCATGCTTGCCGAGAGTGATACCAGAAGAAACTATGTATCGATTTCTCTGTATTTCTTCCTCTTCTTTCCGCTAATGGTTTTGCATTGTGTTGTAGAAGGGCAATGGTCTGCCGATTTTTCACAGCCAAGAGAGCCTTCATGGAGAGGTATGGCTGTTTAGCTCGTCATGGAATTTTTCTAGCATGGAACAACAGGTTCGTATCGATCCATTGCCTGGAAGAAAGCTTGAGCATACCGGTGTGAAGATCGAGCTACTCGGGCAGATTGGTACTTTTTTATAGAACAACTCTCTTTTTTTTGCTCACACGAAAAACTTCACAGAGCTCTATTTCGATCGCGGGAATTACTACGATTTCACATCACTTGGTAGCTTTAGTTTCTAGTTCTATAGTTTCAAGTTCTATATACTCCAACTTTTTCCAGTGAGGGAGCTGGATGTCTTGGGAGAGATTGCGGAGAGAAAAGTCTATCCTTTTGAGTTCTCAGCGGTGGAAATGCCGTATGAATCCTACAACGGCACAAACGTGAGATTGAGGTTAGTGTTCATGTTTTTCTCTCTCTCTCTTTTTGTCAATGCTTTTTTCTTTCTTTCTTGTAGGTATATACTGAAAGTCACTGTTAGCAGAAACTATTTGTCGAATCTTACAGAGAGCAAGGACTTCTGGGTATGATCTTGAGCAAACAAGGCTGACTTTTTTCTTAACTTCCTGCATAACCAGGTACACAATTTCTCGACTCCTCCCGCAATCAACAATTCTATCAAGGTTTTTTTTCGACAATTTACTGTTTTTTTATTTTAAAAAAAAACTAACTTGTGCTTAGATGGAGGTTGGGATTGAGGATTGTCTACACATAGAGTTCGAGTACAACAAAAGCAAGTAAGCCTTCACGTTGTTTAGCTCTTGGAGAAAAACAAGTTTTTCCTTTCAGATATCACTTGAAGGACGTGATCCTTGGCAAGATTTTCTTTCTACTCGTCCGGTTCAAGATCCGACACATGGAGATTGAAGTAAGACGCCGGGAGTCCACTGGCTCGGGGCCAAACACTTACAACGAGACCGAGACGATTGCAAAGTATGAACTTATGGATGGAGCTCCTGTTCGTGGTATGTCCTTGATGATCGACTGAAAGTTCCTCTTTTTAACTTTGTTTTATGGCAGGAGAATCCGTTCCAATTCGCTTGTTTCTGAGTCCTTTCAATCTCACGCCAACGTATCGCAACGTGAACAACAAATTCAGCGTCAAGTACTACCTCAACCTGGTGCTCGTGGACGAGGAAGATCGACGCTACTTCAAGCAACAAGAGGTGACAATGTATAGAGCTCGACCGTTTTAGAGCCTTCGAGCTTCTCTTCTGGAATAAGTGGCAGTGGTGAATGAATAAACGATGCACACTACTTACTAGACTTTCTATTAGGGCTCGCTCTACCGGAGATGAGGAGAATTCTAGCTCAACGACGCTGGACACCTCTCGGTACACATTCTTCTTTCATGAGTTTTCTCTATCATTCCAAAACTTGATCGCTCGAGTTTCTCCAGGGAAGAAGTGGCTAGAGAATTGTCGAGCTTACAGCGTTCCAGCGTCCTCCAAAGTTGTAAGAGATGAACGCTTTGCAACACTGGATGATCAAGATATCAAGCACTTCTCCGGGATAGTGGGATCGAAGGGCCTGGTTGTGGACAAGGATGAATTGGAAGTGGCCAACACGGACTGGATGAGGAAGTTCAAAGGATCCGCTCAGCTCCTCCTTCGCCCCCAATCTTCAAATCAAGTGAGTGTCTCGATTAAACGTTTTCTCTCCAAAGTTCTTAGTTCCTCCAGGCCAGGTAGCCGAGATCCTGAAGTACAGCAGTTCGAGAAGAATTGCTGTTGTTCCTCAAGGTGGCAACACGGGGCTTGTTGGAGGAAGCGTTCCTGTATTTGATGAGGTATGAAAAAAACTTATCTGTTTCAAGCTCTAGTTTTGGAATGATCCAACCAGGTTATAGTCAATCTAGGAGCAATGAACTCGATCATTTCCTTCGATGAGGTGGGACTTCTCGTTTCTCTAGATTTCTCATCCGTTCGAATCTCGAAGCTTGCAGGTCAGTGGTATTCTCATCTGTGAAGCAGGCTGCATTTTGGAAACACTGGACAAATTTCTTGCGGACAAAGGGTATAAACTTACTTCAGTTTAATCTCGGCTTAATCTCCTCGCAGTTTCATGTTTCCCTTGGACCTCGGAGCCAAAGGAAGCTGCCAGATCGGAGGAAACGTTTCTACAAACGCAGGTGGCCTTCGTTTGATAAGATACGGGTCACTGCATGGAAACATTCTCGGTAGAAATCGTAGATTTGCTCTTTCTAAGTCTCAAACCTTCTTCTTTCTTGTAGGCCTTGAAGTTGTATTATCAGATGGAACAATTCTGGATATGCTATCGAGTTTAAGAAAGGACAACACGGGCTACGATTTGAAGCAACTCTTTATTGGTATGTTTCATTTCTACAAAGCAGTTCCATATCACTGCTTACAAAGCATTTAAACAGGAGCCGAAGGAACACTTGGAGTGGTGACTAAAGTGGCTGTGCTGACACCACAAAAGCTACCTTCCGTGAATGTGGGATTTCTGGCGTGCACAGACTACACAAGCTGCCAGGTAAGAAACGACATTGTGATCCTCTTTTTCGCATGTTTGCTGATGTTTCCTCCACAGAAAATGCTTCTCGAAGCAAGGAAACATCTCGGCGAAGTGCTGTCGGCATTTGAGTTTATTGATTCGTTTGCGCTTGATATGGTAAGCGAAGAACTTGTATGGGATCCATTTCATGTTTGATCTAAATCAGTTTCTTTTAGGTGCTAAAACACTCCGGACATCGTCATCCACTTCCCGATGCCAAGGAAAAATTTTACCTTCTCATAGAAACCACAGGCAGTAATCAGTCACATGATAAGTAAGCTATTACATCCACGCTCCTAGGATGTCTGTACTTATGTTTTTTTTACAGGGAGAAGCTAGATAACTTTGTGGAGACTGTTCTTACACAAGGACTCGTTGTCGACGGCACAATCGCACAGGACAACACTCAAATATCAAATTTCTGGCATATAAGAGAGGCATGGTTTCTACAACTTCCTCGTTACAATCTTTTCTCCATCTTTGTTTCAGGGAATTGCCGAAGCCCTGGGGAAGGCTGGAGCAGTGTACAAATACGATCTCTCAATACCGATCAAAGACCTCTACAATCTCGTGGAAATTCTTCGTGAACGACTCGGTAACAAATAGTGAAATTGTCTATAGACTTAAAAAGCTCTTTTGAACAGGAGGATTAGCCACAGTGGTAGCGTACGGTCATCTCGGCGATGGAAATCTTCATCTAAACATCTCCGCTCCAGACTACGACGAAAAGGCAAGCTTTTTCTTCCAAGTTTCAAGTGTTTTCGTCTCTAAGATCTCTAGACTTGACGAACAGCTTATAGCAAAGATAGAACCATTCGTGTACGAGTGGACTGCGGCGCACAAAGGCAGCGTAAGCGCCGAGCACGGGCTGGGCTTCATGAAAGCCCACGCAATCCACTACAGCAGGAGTCCCGAGACGGTAAATCCGACTTCTTCTCAAAGTTCTGGAAACTTTTGCTTTTCTCGCAGGTAGAATTGATGAGAAAGATGAAAGCTATGCTCGACCCAAACGGAATTCTTAATCCCTACAAAGTCATAGCGTGAAAAAAAAACGAAAAGAAAAGACACGTGTACTGTCGAGCTCAAGCTGTACACCGCGCGAGACTACCGGTTAAGATGAAAAAATTGTGCCGGGCAGTACTGTTGGAGCTTAAGTAGCGTACCGCGTGGTACTATTCGAGCTGTATACCGCACGGTATTATTGCCTCCCATTTGCAATGTAAGCGAGTAAATGCCCGCGCTCTCTACAAATGCCGCGCGGCGACTGTTTCAAAGAAGCCTTCCAACGGCGCTGGAGGCACTGAAACACAACCTCTTCCACCAATGCGGGCAATCCACAGCGCTAGCCCTCGCGAGAATTTTTCAGATCACATTGCTTATGTTGTTTCCTTGATTGATAAGTTTTGATGCGAGCATTTATATATAACAATTTTTTCGAACATTCTATTTTTCAATCTCTTTAAAATCTTTTTGCTAATCTTTTTTTTTCTTTCTTTCTTTGAGGTTTAGTAGCGTGTAAAATCACAGAGTAATAGTGTGTATATCATCTGGATTCCTTGTGGGCTGAGGGCTCCTCTGGTATCACATTGAGCTCATTGAACTCCAAGACGTGCTTGAATCAGAGCTTATCATCATAAGCACCAAGCAAGAAGCCCTCTACCACTCACATTAATCCAGCTCCAGCCACTAGTGAGTAGTAGCGAGCAGTGCGAGTTGAGCAAGCAGGAGCCAAGCAAGCAATAGGGAGCAGCACAAGCAGCAGCACAAGCAGCAGCGAGCCAAGCAAGCAACAATGAGTAGCATGAGTAGTAGTGAGCAGCATGAGGTAGCACAAAGCTGGCAAGCATTTGATCTAGGAAGCTTGCCATCTAACTATTAGAATTAATGATCTCAATTCCTTGCTGATAAGCATTTATTATCCACATAGATAGTGATGTGGCAAAGTACATAGCAACTGGGGTATTGCTGATGTAGCAAAAATTGCAATTATGTGGCAAAAGGATTCTAAATTAACGCTTGAAATTTAATGTGCAGTAAAATGGCAAGACTCTCACTTTTATATTATAAATTTGATGTTTATAATTGAATTTTCAATAATCCACACTCATTTCATTGGATTCAAAGATTTTTCTTCTGAATCCCTAAATTTTGCAAAGCAAATCCATGCAAAAAAAATGTATAGTGCTGCATTTAATAATAACAAATCCCACAGAGGAGTGCGAGGATAAGATGATGGAACAGGCCAACAATGCCCAACTCCCAGATTTAATCAAAGAGCTCTAATGCTTCTTTGAAGTGCCCAGTATGAGCATATACCATTATGATGATGTTCTAGAGGGTGTGGTGTTAAGAACCAGTTAAAATAGTTTAACTAGTCTGTAAACTGATTTTTTATTTGATATAATTATTTCACTCTGTGAGTGTGGCCCTCACAACTCCCTCTCTTTCTCTCTTCAATATCATGCACTCTTTAATTCTTTTTACTTCTAAATCAATTATCTCACATAATTCTCTCCTATAAATAGTTGATAGATTTTTACCTTAATGACTAGTATTTCTTTGCATTAGATTAAAATGGTTTGATCACTCCCTCAAATTGTTGATTGCAGTAACTCAAGCCAATGATTCATTTGTTCAAGAAGTTCACATTTCTTTTGGAATTTCTTTAGTTTTGGGATTGACTTTTTCATCAACATAATTAGCTATATATACTAGATGGTGAGAATTTTTTAGTAGTATTTTCAATGTTTTATTTGTCATCAATATAATAATTGGATTGATCTTCTTCTTTCTACTGTGAGTTTTCTTATACCAATTCTCACCACTCTTGACACATCACACTTTATTCTTCACTAACTATTACTTTCATCCTCTTTAATCATACTTTTTTCCTCTAACACTTAATCTTACCATTTATGCAATTATTTTAAATTCTTTTCATAAGAAAGTTCACTAACACTTTTTTGTATTTATCACCATGTTGCAAATTGTTCTCACTAACTTAATCCTTGTATACTATATCACCTCTTCTGATTTTACTTGTGTTTCACCACTAATAAACTAAATTTAAAGTTGCTACCAATTCTTTGATTCTATGTACAGGTATCACAAGCTCTATTATCCGGTCAATTGGCTCAGGTACTCAATTAACTTGGAAGCCTATTTCCCATTTTTCTGAGTTGGTTAAATTTCTATTAGTATTTATCCACTCAAGCCCATCACTTTAGTTGCCACTTAGTTTGGCATAAAAGGGGACGAGCTGATATCATGTATTTGCATTGTTTACAATAGGATTCAAGTTTATTTATTGGATTCAAACCCAAAACCTACCTATTATGCATGGTGTATAAAAGTATGGTTTTCAGGACTTTTTGTTCAACATAAATCTTTTTTTTTTTAATTTATTTTATCAATAGTTTTATTGTCTTCCTTTCTCTTGATGACAATTTCTTGAAATACTGAAACTAGAAATTTATAATGTAGAATTTTTAAGATTTATCAAGATCTGTTAAGGGTTATTTATCATTCAAAATTCTATTGCTCAGAAAGATGTCAAAATCTACAATCCTTGAGTTAAGTTTTTTTTTTGCTTAAGCAAAAATGTATATCTAGAATATACCTAAAAATTTTAGTATATTTATTATATAATAGTTAAAATAAATTTAAATTAATTTTTGTAATTGTTAAAAGCTTTCATGGCATATAATACTTAAATTTAAATATAATTTAAATATTTTTACATAGTATTATGATAATAATTTAATAAATTTGTTAATTATCTTCTAACATTACCTCCATAATCATATTCAAGGTTTTATTCATCCGCTAAACATAAACAAAATTATCTTATTAATTAACAATGTTCAATATAAAGAAGCAATCAGAGAGAAAGGATAAAACAGGTAATAGGATAAACTATCATCTTATTATAAAAATGAGTTTTCTTACAACAATCTTTGTGTCAAAGGTTGACAGCTATATCATGCTCAGCTTATTTGTTGGGACCAATAGCTGGTTGGTAATGACTATATATTTAATATTTTGTGGACCACATCAAAATTATGCCAAAATAAGATCCTCCAAAGTATAAACTCTCAAATTTAAAATGCATTAATTGCCCATTTTCGAAAATGGAAATCTTTAGTGGAAGCAGTGGCTTTGATCACAAATGTTCCCATTCCCAAAGCAATCTCCATTACCCTATAATCTAGGATCTCTTGCTGGACAAAATGACAATTATATATAGTGGGTTTACAATATTTTAGAAATGATATCATATATTTGCCATCTCTTTGTATGTCTTAGAGTGTATTTCATTATCATTATCTATAATATGATTCAAACTCAAACCTTACTATATACATGCATATGCTATATGGTTTTTAGGATTTTGTGTCCATCTCCTCTTCCTCTTCCTTTATAATTTTATTAATAATTTTGTCATCTTTCTTTCTCTTTATGATGAGCTCCTAAAAATATGAAATTTGAAATATATAATTTAAAGTTCTAAGTTTTATCAAATACATAAGAATATATCTGAATATTTAGTATATTCTATTCTGTAATATTTAATATAAATTTAAGTTAATTGTTATACTTATTATAAGTTTTTTTAGTATATAATACTTAAGTAAATCATATTTGTATAGTATTATGATAATATTTCAATAAGGTAGTTAAACATTATCTCCATATTCAAGGTGTTATTCATCAACTATATTTAAAAGAAATGAAGTTATTTTATGCCATAATTAATTAACAATAAGCAATTAAAAGAAGCAGTTGAGCATGATGTAGATGTCAAGCTTACATGATCACCTTATCGCTTGTTTTATCGTTTCTCTCTCTCAATAGTTGGTGGGTTTGGGACCATATATTTAATATTTGGTGGACCACATTAAAAAAATACCAAAATAAGACCCTATTTAAAATGCATCTATTTCCCAACCTCGAAGTGGAGACCTCTAGTGGAAGCGCTGGCTTTAATCTCAGATGTTCCTATTCCCAAAGCAAGCTCTCTTGCCTATAATCTGGGCTCTCCCACTGGACAAAATGACAACCAAGATATATTGGATCTACAGCCTTTTGGAAATTGATATTAATTAAATATTCGCAGGTCCCACAGAGCTAGTCAGATGTTGTTTTCAATCATTAATGAGCCTAGCAAAAGCTAGCCCTATAAAAACACAGAGCTTAAAACATGCTTGCATCCACGTTTCTCAAAGCCATGGCATCATCGCCCCTGTTTCCTCTCCTCCTCCTCACCTCCTTCATGGTCCTGCTGCTCATGGGCACTCCATCACAGGCCACTGTGAGTCGATGATATTGTTCTTCTTAGTACTTAAAAGTGGCGCGTGTGTTGCTTGTTTGACCATTGTGCAGTGTGGAGGATTCCACAACTCATGCCGTGACCCGAAAGTACTCGGCGCCACAAGGCTGGTGCTCGAGTGCCAAAGGAGCTCAGGCCGCTTCTATGCTCCCACGAGCATCGACTTGGCATGGTGCCTCCAGGTGAAGCCCGACGGGACGCTCACTTGCAACAACTACGGCGAGTCTTTTTACCCCAAGGTTGGGCAGTACTCAAAATGCAGCGAATTCCATTTGGCAGCAGATCTCTTTTTCGGTGAACGCGATTTCAGTGCAACTTGCAAGGCCGAGGACGGAAGCACTGTGACCAGCACCATCGACCTCAAAGATTGCCTCTACAACGACAACGGAAACATCAAATGCTGCCAAGAGTTTGATTTGGGGAGGCCAGGCTTTGCTTCCACAACCTTTTAATACGGGTATACGGTTCTAAGTAGATAAGAGAATAATGTGACAGGTGTCACTTCCACATTGTGCCACGTAATGATCTTTGTTTATATTATCTCTTTCTCGCTTTCAAATCGCCTTGCGTGATTCGCCGGGAGTGATACCAGAAGCTATGTATCGATTTCTATTTCTTTCCGCTAATTGTTTTACTTTGTCTTGTAGAAGGGCATTTAACATACCGGTGTGAAGATCGAGCTACTCGGGCAGATTGGTACTGTTTATAGAACAACTCTCTTGTTTTGCTCGCACGAAAAACTTCTTCGTGAACGGCTCGGTAACAAATAGTGAAATGTAGACTTAAGTTCTTTTGAACAGAAGGATCATAGCCTCGGCGATGGAAATCGTCTCCGCTCCAAGTGTTTTCGTCTCTAAAACCTCTGGACTTGACGAACAGCTTCTCGCAAAGATAGAACCGTTCGTGTACGAGTGGACTGCCGCGCACAAAGGAAGTGTAAGCGCCGAGCACGGGCTGGGCTTCATGAAAGCCCACGCAATTCACTACAGCAGGAGTCCCCAGACGGTAAATTCGACTTCTTCCAGAAAGCTCTGGAAACTTTTGCTCTTCTTCTCGCAGGTATAGAACTCATGAGAAAGATGAAAGCTATGCTCGATCCAAACGGAATTTTTAATCCTTACAAAGTCATAGCATGAAAAAAAAAAGAGTGCCGCGCGGTACTGCTGAGCTCAGGCTCTATACCGCGCGGCACTATAGTAACGAGCCGTGCGGTACTGTTCAAGCTGAAGCTGAAAAAGGAGTACAATCGGTTGCAAGCTACTTAATAGCGTACCGTGCGGTACTATTCGAACTGTGCAGTGCGGTACCCGCGGCATTGCCCGTTATCCCCTCCCATTTGCAATGTAAATGCCCGCGCTCTCTACAAATGCCGCGCGGCGACTGTTACAAACAAGCCTTCCAGCGGCGCTGGAGGCGCTGGAGCGCAGCCTCTTCGCGGATCGCGCCTCCTATCCGCCGCTCCTCCACCAATGCGGGCGGGAGAAATCCCTCGACTCCGCCAAGCGAGTCCACGCACATATCACGCGCAGTGGATTCAAGGACGACATCTTCCTCGCCAATCTCCTCGTCCAGACCTACGCGCGCTGCTCCAGCCTCGCCGACGCGCGCCGCGCCTTCGATTCCATCCCCTGGAAGAACTCCCACTCCTGGAACATCGTCATCGCGGCGTATGCCCAGGCCGGGCACTTGGACGAGGCACTGGAGCTCTTCGATCGGATGTGGGAGCTGGGTGCTGGGCCGATCCATCGCCCCATCCTCACGCTCCTCCTCCGCGGGATCCCCAGCCTGGAATCCCTGCGCTCGCTCCACGATCGCACGCGAATCGAGTGCTCCAGCGATCGCGTCCTCGCCACTGCGCTGGTGAGGAGCTATGGCGGATTTGGGCGCTTGGAGGAGGCGAAGAGGGCTTTCGACGATTACCAGGGCGAGAGGGACGCTTGCTGCTGGACGTCTCTCATCGCGGCATACACCCAGAATTCGCGACCCAGGGAGGCGCTGGAGATCTTCCGGGCGATGGATTCTCCACCGGACGAGATCGCGTTCGTCACCGCGGTAGATGCCAGCGCCCTGGCGAGGGATCTCCGCCAGGGGGAGTGGCTCCACTGCCGGATCGCGCAAGAGGGGCTGCTCCACTGCCAGATCCTTGCAACCGCGCTCCTCACGCTCTATGGCCGCTGCGGGAAGATCGATCGCGCGAAAGAGATCTTCGATCATCGGCTGTTCTTGCGGGATCTGGTGGCCTGGAACGCGATGATCGCGGCGTATGCCCAAAACGGGCATGGCGTTGCCGCGATCGAGACCTTCTCGGCGATGGATCTCGCGCCCAATGCCAAGACCTACGCGACGGTCCTGGATGCGTGCGCGAGCGTGGGCGCGATCGAGACTGGGCAACACATCCACTCGTTGATCAATCCCTCGATGCTCAAGGGCGATGCTGTCATCGGCACTGCGATGATCAATCTCTACGCGAGATCCGGGATGATAGATCTCGCAAAGCGGTTGTTTGATTCAGTTGTGACAAGAGATCCAGTGGCGTGGAGCTCCATGATCGCAGCATTTGCCCAGAATGGGCATTCTTGCGATGCGCTAGATCTTTTCCGTGAGATGACCGACGAGAAGGAGATCTCTCCCGATGCGATTACGTTCTTGGGCGTGCTCGCAGCGTGCAGCCACGGCGGCCTCATTGATCACGGCATCAAACAATTCGTGTCGATGATCCAGGAGTTCGAGATCAAGCCAGCGAGGGAGCACTTTGGATGCGTGATCGATCTCCTGGCAAGGACCGGGCGGATCAGTGATGCAATCGAGCTCTTGTATGCCATGCCCTGTGTTGCAAACGAGGTGGTCTGGACCTCGGTGATGAACGCGTGCCGTATCCACGGCGACATGGAGCAGGGGATGGTGGCAGCGGAGGAGGTGATGATGCGAGAGCCTGAGAACCCTGAGGCCTATATTGCCATGGCTGGATTTCTTGTGCAAGGTCGACTCCACGAACTTACACTTCTTACGTTTACAGTGAAGCCTGAACAGCCTGATACCTAGTGTATCTTGGAAGTTGGAACTACTTAGATCTTACATCTTAAAAATATTCTACTTCCAAAAATTTCCTCTGACATTGTAGTTTCATTTCTATACTGAATAACATGATGACATGGCAAATTTCTATATTAACAATTGGAGATAAATAGATAATAATTATTAGAGATGTTTAGCAATACATACAAATATAAGATTATAATTTCTTTTTCATGCCCAAAGTCCAAAACGTTATGTAAAAATATTTAATGTAAATTTTGTTTTATATATATTTTTATGTATATACTCAATAACTCCATCTGTGCTATAAGATTCCTGAAGGTAATGAGTTTTTTTTTTTTTTTGATAAAACAAAATATAGAAGATCATAAGCATGTGTTTATAAAAACACTAAAAACATACTTATTAGTAAAATATTTTAAAATTATATATAACTATTATACATGTGGGAACAAAAAAATGAAGATTCTTTATTAGCAATTAAAACATTGTAAAGAATGTTTTAGTCAAAAGTTTTGCAAACCAAAATAAAATAATATGATAATTCTAGAAAGTTGCTCAATTCAAATTTAGAAATAATACCTCTCACTAGATAATTATTTAATTCATAAATATTAAAACCCTTCATATAATTCAAGAATAATATTTGTATATATTTTCTATATATTTTTAAAAATAATTAATTCATAATTAAAAAAAGAAGTCACAAAGATGGTTAATAAAAGCAAAAACTCCTCAACTATTAACTCCAAGTTTAAACTAAGGATTTTTTGCATGTATAGCCATTCAAAAAGTTTTAATAAATGTATTTAACTATAAACATTATATATTTAGATGTTAATAAAATTAAATATTAATTATATATTAAAAAGGTAATTAATTAATTTTTCATATTAATAATCACTATATTTGAGTAGGTTATGAATAACATACTTTCACAATATGACCTAAAACCAATATTACTTTAATCTAATCATAATAAAAACTACTATTTTACTAAGTTTGGTGAAATTAAATTTCTCTATGATTAAAATCTTATAAAACTTTATTCATTTTAAACTTTTTGGGATATTTTAATGAATGCCTACCCTTATTAAACTAGGCAATAAAATTATGAACTCTTTGAAGAATTTGTTTATATATATAAAAATTAATTTAGTTTGTGAGTGCATGGAATATGGAAAGGGAATACAGAAATGTGCATATTAATTAGCCCAAAAACCCTAGCTTATATACAGGAGCGAGTGGTCCGGATTGAAACCAATCCGACGGCTACCAAAATCCACTACGCTAATATTAGTATACGGCATCGTAGCCGTACACTTGGCCCTCACATCATCCCCTCCTCTCGGAATAATGGAAGGCCGTCAGGGTTCTCTTGTAGATGGGCCGGGATCTGGAGGAACGTCAGGAGGAGTCATCGGTGGATCTGTAGACGGTATTAACTACTCCTGATCCCTTTGTATGAAGCGTTTTAACCGCTGCACATGCACAATCTCCGGAGGATCGGCCTGCTGAACGTCATGCCGAACCTCATAAACTTGTGGTCCAACTTGCCGCAACACCCGATATGGTCCTTTCCACTGCACAAGGAGCCCCTTAGATAAACCACGTACCGTAAGATGGGGAAAACGGACTAACACAAAATCATCCACTTTGTACTCCGCAGGTGGACGATGATGGGAATTGTAACGCTGTTGTTGTCCCACTTGTACGCGGCCTAAGTGTTCAGTAGACTCTGCTCGGACAAGTGGAAGAATGCTTGTCAAATATTGATCCCATGACCTAGCATCAGGAGCTCGTGGCAATCGCGAAGGTAAACCTAGCTCTGTTAGTAATATTGGATCATGACCATATAGAAGTTTATATGGTGAAGCACCAACATAACTCTGCACCCCTGTGACATAGGCATACCGAAAAGACAGCAAATAACCATCCCAATCCGAATGTTGAAAGTTCACATACTTCGCAATCATCCCTTTGAATGTCCAAACGAGCCGTTCCACCAGACCGTCTGATTGTGCATGATAAGCACTCGTAAAAGTGTGGCGTATCCCCAACCGAGACGTCAAAACATGAAATACCTCAGCCATAAATGCAAGACCATTATCCGAAAGAATCCACTCTGGACAAGAATGCTGGAACACCACTCGATTGAGGAGGAAGCATCCAACAGCAGTTGCAGAGGCACTAGCAAGAGCACCAACTTCCACCCAACGAGTCAAGTAGTCAGAAGCAATAATAACATACTCATTGCCAGCAATCGATCGCGGAAAAGGTCCCATAAGATCAAACGCCACCAACTCAAACGGATGAGAAACTACAATTGACTCCAACCATCCTTCCGCAGCACAAGGGGGAGTATTACGAGCTTGGCACCAAACGCAACTACGCACATACCGGATAATATCACGTCGCATCTCTGGCCAATAGAAAGATCTGCGCAGCTTCTCGGTGACACGACAGTGTCCCATATGCCCACCTAGAATAGGAGAATCATGGTAGGCATGGAGAAACCGCGGAATAAACACCGAAGGCACCACCAGCTGTAAATGATCATCAGGATCCGTCCCCACAAAATAAAGAAGGCCATCTTCAAGGCGATATTGAGAATGTAAATGCCGGAAAGGCAAGTCATCAGCAAGTGATGCAGGATTCTCAAACCCATCTCGAAGCCTTCGAATCCACGGCTCAATCTTTTGAGCCTTGCGAACCTCATCAAGAGAAGGTAGATCTTGCTCTACGCCCTGTGGACACTGAACGTCAAGGACAACAACCGCCGACGGCACAAAATCCTCATCTAGAAAATCCACAGATGCTGGAACAACAGGTTCGTCAGAAACATGAGAAGTGAGTGGAGAAGGAAGAGGAGTTCGAGAAAGGGCATCAGCATCAGCCATAGAACTCCCTGGGCGATGAACAACATCGAAATCATATATCTGAAGCTTCAAAGCCCATCGAGCTGTACGACCAACTAGGTTCTTCCGCTTCAATAATGAAGTAACAACAGCATGGTCACCTTCAAGTAACGTCCGAGAACCATATAGATATGCATGAAGTTTCTCGAAACCCCAGACTGCTGCTAAACACTCCTTCTCCGTCGTGGAGTAGTTCATCTCCGCTGGTTGTAATGTACGGCTTATGTATGCAATGGGATGGCGCTGACCAGGCACACTCGAGCTCTCTTGCATCAACACACCTCCAAGACCAATGTCAAAAGCATCCATGCGCAAAATAAAAGGTCGAGTGTAGTCAGGATATGCCAAAACCGGAGGAGTCGTCAATAGCTCTTTGAGATTCACGAACGCCCGCTCACAATCGGGAGACCAGATGAAAGATGACGTTGATGACTTCAGCAACGCTCGCAATGGTGTAGTGCGATCGGAAAGATGATCCACAAAACGACCAAAATACTGCACCTTACCCAAAAAGCGTTGCACATCATTCACACACTTCGGAGTAGAGAACTTTAGAACAGACACAAGTTTATCAGGATCAACTTGCAAACCCTCACGAGAAATACGGTACCCAAGATAAGTTGTGTCCTTGGACCCAAACACGCACTTCGACCGCTTCAGCTTTAAACCAACATCGCGTAGCCGATCCAACACTTTACAAACATCACGAACATGCTCCTCCCACGTCCCCTCCGAGTGGATCAAGACATCATCAATGAAGTCAGCCGTCACCTCCGGCATATCGCAAAGAACCTCGTCCATCATCCGCTGAAAAGTTGCTGGAGCATTGTTCAAACCAAACGGCATCACCAAAAACTTGTACAAACTAAATGGTGTACAAAAAGCAGTCTTAGGAATATCTTCTTCGGCCATCGGTACTTGCCAATACCCAGAAGCAAAATCTAGCTTGGTGAACCAACGACTTCGCCCCAGACGATCTAAAAGATCAGCAGTGTGAGGAAGAGGGTACACGTCCGGGATCGTCACTTCATTTAACGGACGATAGTCGATGCAGAAACGAATACTCCCATCAGGCTTTGTCACAAGATGAGGTTCACATGCCCAAGGACTCCGCGACTTCCGAATAACACCCTTCTCCAACATCTCCTTGACGTTTGCACGTAAAATCTTGATCTCCTTGGGTGACCGATGACGAACAGGAACCTTGATTGGACGAGCATCCCCGGTTGGAATGGGATGACGTGTGGCAATCTTGGCTCCAGACGATAGGTCAAATTCAAAGAGATTAGAATACTCCTTCATGAGCTGGTCAATAGCTGCAACACAAAGATCATCGGAGGGATCAGAAAAGGGAAGAGCAGAACAAGATGGAAACACAAGAGGAAATAGTGGGGGAACAAAAGTAATGGAAGCAGAGGTAAAAGTAGAGGGACAAAGAGGTACAGAAGTGAGAGAAATGGATGAAACATAAGGAAGTATGAGACAAGGGGGAGAAACCTCAAAGTGACACTTGGCATGATTGTGCTGCAACCAATCCATACCAAGAATGAGGTCAAAAGCTTGACTCGGCACCACCCGCAATGACTGCAACTCAAGCTCAAGATCGCCCACACGCACAACCAAGTCCGCCTCATCTCGTGCACATGCATGTGTACGGCCGTTGCCATAAAGAATGAAAACTGGATCCACCGCACGACGCAAGTGTAGACGACAACGTGTGGCAACAGGTCGAGCAATAGAAGATAAACTCGAACCTGTATCAACCAACACGGAGAGAAGAATAGGAGACCTTTTGTTATAAAAACGAGCTTGGAAAGTAAACACTGGATGAACCGGTGCCAAGTGAACCCCTTGATGATACTCCCGAAAGAAAGATGGAGGGGTCACTAACTTATTCGCGCAAGGTCCCTCCATTACTCGCGCGACTCCTCGTTTCCCGAATGCACCTCGGTATCCAAACCTTCCACCGCAGCAGCACCAATGGGACATTGCTGACGCCAAGGTCTCCACCCAGGAAATGGAGGTCGCCAATCCGGAAAGCGCCGACAACGCCGATAAGTATGACCAACTTCATCACACACCCAGCAACGAACGTCACAGCCACGACCACGTCCTCACCCTTGTCCTTGCACTCGAGTAGCAGCAGCATCAACCTCCATGGGAACAGGACCATCACTCATAGGAAGTGGAGTGGAAGGACGTGTACCAAAAAGTGGAAGAAGTGACGTCTCATAACGTTGTGCCAAGCGAAGAGCATCGTCAAGGGTGGCAGGAGCAAGTGCATGCACAAGTCCGACAAGATCTTGACGAAGTGCTGGCCACAACATTCCTAGCTTGATCCGCTCCGACATATTTGGCTCCGCACGAAGAAAAAGACTTCGGAAACGAACGCCAAATTGCATCACCGACTCAGATGGCCCTTGGCGAAGACGATGCAATTGTTGGAAGGCATCATCACAATCGTCAGCGTGTCCGAAGGCGCGTTTGAAGACGTCCGGAAGAACACTCCAATTGCCACGAGTAGCTGCGCTCAATCCATTGTACCACTGCAATGCCGTCCCTTGGAGACATATGGGGAACTCACGCAAACGTCGAGCATCATCCCAAGAATGATATGTGGCAATCACCGTGAAGTGATCGAACCAATGATACACATCATCTCCAGGATTCCCACGAAAGAACTCCGGCCGAACGCGAGGATTGGCACCAAAAGCAGGAGGAGTTGTACCATGTGCCGTGAACGCCGCCATTAACTGAGTTTGGTTGTTCAATTGCAAGCGCATAGCATCAAGCAATTGAACCAACTGCTGCTCTAGAGTCAAAGGAGGAGATTGTGGATCGGCCATGAAGATGAATGAAAAAGAAAGAGCAAAAGAAGAGAAATGACAAAAAGCTGGAAAGAAATGGTAGATCTAGACAATGCAAAAAGCTAGATCTAAACCAAAATCCTGAAAGGAAAGAACAAAAGAAAGGAAATGGAAAAAGCTAGATCTAGACGATGCAAAAGCTAGATCTAAACCGAAATCCCAAATCCAAACACTCCCCAGGGACAATCAAAGGTGCCCCTCACCTCCACCAATGTGAGTGCATAGAATATGGAAAGGGAATACAGAAATGTGCATATTAATTAACCCAAAAACCCTAGTTTATATACAGGAGCGAGTGGTCCGGATTGAAACCAATCCGACGGCTACCAAAATCCACTACGCTAATATTAGTATACGGCATCGTAGCCGTACACTTGGCCCTCACAAGTTCATTATTTATAAAAAATAAAAATTCTTTGAAAATAACATTTTTCCTCCATATAAATGTTTTATTTGTTACTTCTAGGTTTGACTAGTGATAGTGTCTTACTAATAAACAAAGTCAAACACGAGAAGTGTAAACTTCTAAATTTAGATTTTTTTTGGGAAGTCACCCAACCTAGTACTATTCAAATTTAAAGACACTTAAATCTAAATGTTCCAAAATTTTTAATTAATTAGAAAAAAAAAATACTTTTATTCATAAGCCCTTTTCTTTTATATTTCATTCTTTCTTTTAAATCGTTTTTTTTTGTTGTTTATATTAATCTTAGTTAGGGAGGAGTGTCAGGTGAGAAATCTTTGAGTTGTAATGCATAAAAGGAAGAGGATATCGTTTAGGCATTTTATTATTTTTCAATTTTTATTTTATTTTATGACATCATATTGAAATGATTTCTTTGTGTTTTTCACTAAATAAAGATTGTAGAAAGAAAAACATAGAATGAGTGTAAACATTTTATAGTTTCACTTTTGTGTCATTAAATAATTTTAAAAAAACATTTATTATTAATCCTACAACTAAAAAACTAAATGAATAACATAGAAAAAATCAAAACATACTACCAAACAATTTTTCACATTTAATTTCTTAACAATCATGGCTACTTTGAATACAAAAAGAAACACTAAAGCAATTTATATAAAGATTTTTAAAAAAGGTTTAAATATCTTTTCAAGTGCGAACTGAGCCGTTGGATAATGTCACAATCTTAAAATGATCAAGGTGTTCTTGTGGTAGCATGCAGTGGTGTGGATGACTAGGAAAGTAGCCATTCTTTCATTTCCACTGGAAGTGCTGCATAGGTGCCGCTGGAAGACGTGGCTCTTCTCAACGATATAAAGAAGGAGGGTCAAGGGGCAGCACCGGCAATGGTTGTTGATCCAAGCAAGAGGATTGGAATCTGGATAAATTCGCAAGAACTACTCTCGCCGCTTATGCCAAGTCCAAGCAGCTCAAAGCGATGGTAAAGGGAATTCCTCCAGCTCTTCGTCCAAAGGTGTGGCTGGCTTCTTCCAGCGCTGTAGCAGATGCTGCGTCAATCAGCTCGCGGTCTTCTCTCGCTCGATGGGCGCTGCCGAAAGATCGATCTTCAACTTGGAACGCAATGTATACCCAAGACGGGCATGGCGTCGCTACGATTGAAGTGCAAGCGCCGCACTCTAGCCCACTGACGCTACTCCCCGACCGTGGTCGCGCTACTAGGGCTTCAGCGATTTCACAGCCAGCGAATAGATCATCTGGGATGGAACATTTTCAAGCAGTATCTAACAAAGACATCGGGACTACATTGTTACAAATCCAGGATGGAAGCACACAGCAGTGGACACCATGACTTTTTTCTTCCCACAGGTATTTAGTTTTTTCATGATCTTTGAATTCAAATCTTGAGCTTCAGAATGCTGAATGGGGATGGGATTCTGATCGCCTCAATCACTTCACCTTGAGTGTTGTCACGAGGCTAAAGAATGCTAGAAGCGATTGGAAATCGCTCATTGACGCAGCTCCTGAGAAAAATAAGAAAGTCCAGCATGCGTATCGTGTGCTCTTTCAGGGATGTGTTGTTATTTTAGGAAAGATATCGACTCTCCTTTTGAGGTTACGAATGAGCTTTTGTGTGCACAATATTCTCAAGTCATTGGGCAAATATGGGAGATATAGTTGCCGGTATGAATAAGTTTAGTGTTGACTTACTTTGGACAACTTTAGGGTTCCTCTTTAGGGTTGTTGGCGTGCAATGGAGCGGCTCCAGAGGATCATCTCCAGCGGCGCTGGCGGGGCGGGCGGCGGTGGCATGCCTCACCCCGATTCGCCCCTCGTCGACACGTCCGAGCAGGTCTACATCTCCTCGCTAGCGCTGCTCAAAATGCTCAAGCACGGTAAGGAGGGAGAGAGCTCCGCATTTTCGTGCTAGAGCTTTGCGCTTCTTTCGCAGGGAGAGCTGGAGTCCCCATGGAAGTCATGGGACTGATGCTTGGGGACTTTGTGGACGAGTACACTGTTCGCGTGGTGGACGTCTTTGCGATGCCTCAGAGCGGTACTGGCGTGAGTGTGGAGGCCGTGGATCCAGTGTTCCAGACTAAGATGATGGACATGCTGAAGCAAACAGGACGGTACGCTAGCTAAACTTTGGATTGGACACCGCGTTTTCTCAGATTATTTTCTGCTCCAGGAGTGAAATGGTTGTAGGATGGTACCATTCTCATCCTGGTTTTGGCTGCTGGCTATCCGGAGTAGACATCAACACCCAGCAAGTAAGAATCTATAGAACTTAAGTTTCACGTTTTCTTTGTTTGCTTTTTCTTTTTTGTCAGAGCTTTGAAGCTTTGAATCAAAGAGCTGTGGCGGTGGTGGTGGATCCTATCCAAAGTGTGAAAGGCAAAGTCGTGATCGACGCGTTTAGGCTGATAAACCCGCAGACTATGATGCTTGGTCAGGAGCCGAGGCAAACGACTTCGAATCTCGGTCATCTCAACAAGCCCTCTATTCAGGTACCGAAAAACAAAAGCTCTACATAGATGATTCGTTTTCACAGGCTCTGATCCATGGTTTAAACCGGCACTACTACTCGATCGCGATCAACTATCGCAAGACCGAGCTGGAGGAGAAAATGCTGCTCAACCTGCACAAGAAGACTTGGACAGACGGCCTGACTCTCCAACACTTCGATAGTCACGCGAAAACAAACGAATCCACAATCAAGGTAATCCTTCTCTATCACCGAGAGTTGAGAGAAACCTTGTGTTGCGCCGCAGGAAATGCTCGATCTTGCCGTCAAGTATAACAAGGCAGTCCAAGAGGAGGACAAGCTCTCCCCCGAGAAGCTCGCGATTGCAAACGTTGGAAGGCAAGACGCGAAGAAACATCTCGATGAAAACGTTGCCAACCTCATGTCTTCCAACATCGTCCAGACGCTCGGCACGATGTTAGACACTGTTGTATTTTAACACAGCCAAGAACATATCATGATCATACGTTTTAGAAATGACTGAGATCTTCAAATGAAAGTCTGGGTTTTAGACACATCGATTGCACCTTCTCCTCTCAATCGCATTCCCAATCACGATTTGCCCTCGCACTACGTCCAGATCTTAAAATCGTGCCGTGATCTTCACCAAGGCCGGAAACTCCACGCGGAAATTCGCAATGCCATCGACCTCACCAACGATCGCTTCGTGGCCAACTTTCTCATGGACATGTACGGCAAATGCGGGAGCCTCGTCGACGCACAGCGCGTGTTTGACGAGATCACATATCCAAATGCCTACTCCTGGAATATCTTGATCACCGCATATGCCCGAAACGGGCATCTTGAAAAAGCAACGGACATGCTCCATACGTCGCCATGCAACATTGCATCGTGGACGTTCATGATCGCTGCGTTCGGTGAAAAAGGTGATATACAGAAAGCGCTAGATATTTTCGAGAGCATCCCTGAAAAGAATGTCGTAGCATGGAACGCGATGATCAATGCATATGCCCAAACCGGGCATATGGACAAAGCAAGAGCGCTGTTTGAAAAGATGGAAAGCCCCAATGACCGGACATGGACGACAATGGCATCAGCATACGCAAAAGCTGGAAATCTCCTCCAGGCAAGAAAATTCTTCGAAAATATCAAGCAGAAGACCGTCGTCTCGTGGACGGCGATGGTTCGAGCATTTGCCACAAACGGGCATCTTGACGAGGCTTTGAAAATCTTTGAGGAGATGCCGCAAAAGAACGAGGTCTCCTGGACGACGATCATCCAGGCGCTCGCCGAGTCCGGAAGGATCCAAGACGCTCGAAGGATCTTCGACGACATGCCCGTCAAGGACGAGATCGCCTGGAACACGATCCTGCAAGCATATTCCCGCCTCGGGAATCTCCTCGAAGCACGCAAGATCTTCGACCGAATCCCTCACAAGTCGATCGTTTCATGGACGACGATGTGTTTCGCATACGTCGAGTGCGGCAACTATCTCGAGCAAGCCCGCGAGTTCTTCGACAGAATGCCGCACAGGGACCGCGTCGTGTGGACCGCCATGGTCGAGGCATATTCCCGGGAAGGGTATCTCCACGAGGCCAAGAGCATCTTCGACCAAATGCCGCAGCGCGACGTCGTCTCCTGGACCGTGATGCTCTCGGCATATGCCCAAAACGGGAATCTGGCCGTGGCAACACAGATGCTCGACACCATGCCAGAGCAAAACGTGGTATCTTGGACGAATCTCCTGCAGGCCTACGGCATCCACGGCCACACGCAGCAGGCCCGCGCTCTCTTCGAATCCCTGCCGTTCAAAAACGTGGTGGCATGGACGACCCTGATGTCGAGCTACACTCTCAATGGCGGCCTTGGAATCGCGAGACTCTTGTTCGATAGAATGCCCGAGTTGGATGTAGTGACTTGGAACACCATGATCCAAGCATATGCCCAAAACGGGCATGCCCCCTTGGCGCTGGAGCTCTTCCACGACATGGAAATGGACGGCCTGGTTGCAAACTCCGTCACCTTTGTCAGCGTTTTGAGCGCTTGCCGGCACTTGGGCCTCGTCCGAGAGGCTCGAAACTACTTCCACTGCATGAGGCTTGGAGGGATCTTGCCAAACGTGGAGCACTACCACTGCATGGTGGACGCGCTGGGGCGGGCCGGAAAGACGCGAGAGGCCGAGGATCTGATTGCGAGCATGCCGTTTACCACCGATGAGATCGCGTGGACGAGCCTGCTCAGCGCTTGCAAGCTCGACGTCGATCCGGCAGCCTTGGGAGCCCAGCTTGCGAAGAAGGTGGTCGAGAAAGAGCCCGGTCTCGGGGATTCGTACTTTGTGACCTTCTCGAGCATCCTCAAGCTCGCAAAGGATGAAGGAGCTCTTGCAAAATAGCGGAGATCAGCAAAAATGTTCTTTCATTAAAATGCAGTGAACGTTACTGACTGGTGAGTTTCTTTCATTGCTATCGATTTGCTCGGTATATCCTGCTTCACAAACATTAAGAACGTCATTCGCAAATGAGCTGACAAGAGTGACTTTCTCATTACCTCTAGTGAAAAGTCTGCACAGCAGGAAAAAAATGCTTATGCCTGTCACATACAAAAGTATGAATGTTGAGTATGGTATCCAATTTACTGACCTCTCCTTTCGTCTCTATGGATTTCGGTAAATCCTGTCTAAAGGGAAAGAAAATAATCAGCCAAAGATCGTCCACAACGAGCTTAAAGCTTTCATTACCTCATCGCCGCTGGAAGTTGATAAACTTGATCGAGAACGCAAAAACGAGCCAGAAGAGAATCACAAAGCCGAGCATGACCGCAGCGCAGACCCCCACAAAGTCCTCCTCGAAGCCAAAGTAGTCCTTGAGAAACCTCTTGACGCTGATCTCGCCAAGGCTGCCACGAACAGTGATGACATCTTCCACGTCCCCGAGCTGCGACACCGTGAGCCCATACAGCGTCCAGCTGACCGGATCGATGTAGTAGAACCACACCCACCAGGCGGGCATCCTCCTCTTGGGGATGAAGAATCCCGAGAACAAGTTCCACACCGAGTAGAAGGCCGACGAGATCACCGACGCTAGCTGCTGCGAGGGAGTGAGTCCCACCGCCATCATCCCGTAGAAGGTGAAGTAGGCGAAGGTGAGGAACATGAAGAGCAAGTACCACAGGAACTTGGCCAGCGACAGCTCGAACTGGATCATCGCGTACGTGATCACCCCGTACAGCAGCGTCTGGACGAGGATATACGGCAGCTCGATGGCCCCCTGCGCGAACGCGTACGGGAGAGGGGAGTACATCCCCGCTGCTCGCTCGCGGTAAAACACCGTTCGCTCGACGGCCACCACCGGCTGGACGCTGGACGAGTTGTTGACTCCCAAGAACACCACCGCTCCAAACAGGACTCCCATCACGTTGAAAACGTCCTGCTGCGTCTCTCGGTGCTTTCCCACCCCCCAGAAGATGGATCCAAAGATCAGAGCGCAGACGAACGTGAAGAAGAGCCTGACGACGTTGTAGTACGGGTTCCTCCAGTACGTCAAGTGCTGCTTCCACAGGCAAGCTCGGCACTGGCCCCAAGTATCCATTGCATAGTCCGTGGAGAAAGCCAAGGCCTTCGAGCCTGCTGCTGGAACTTTGAGTGACTCAATCAGGCTCTCGGTTCTCTGGTACAAGGCCGAGCTCTTGAAGATGTCGGCGAAGTCCTTGCCGAGTCGGGCCTCCACTGCTGGACTGGAGATCTCAAGCATCCATGTCGCTGGATTGTAGCCCTCTTTCAGGGGAGGGACTCCGGGTATCGCCTCGAAGTAGTCCACCATAGTCTTCGAGTGTGGTCCAAGCGAGCCGACGTATATAGCTCTTCCACCGCGTTTCATCAGTAGTAGCTCGTCAAACGACTCGAAGATATCAATGCTCGGCTGGTGAATGGTGCACACAACTGTCCTTCCCGTGTCCACCGTGTTTCTCACAGTTCTCATGACGATCGCTGCCGCTCGAGCATCCAGACCCGAGGTTGGCTCGTCCATGAAGATGATGGAGGGATTTGCCACGAGCTCCACCGCTATTGTCAGCCTCTTTCTCTGCTCGGTAGACAGTCCGGACGTCCCTGGAAGTCCCAACAGCGAGTTCCTCAAACTTCCAAGTTCAACCAGCTCCATCACCTCTTCCACGAACGAGTACCTGGTAGCTGCATCAACTTCTCCCGGGAGACGAAGCCAGGCAGAATATATCAGTGACTCGTACACCGTCACCTGAGGCGAGTGGATGTCTGTCTGCTCTACGTAGCCGGAAATCCTTGCGAATGTTTTCTGGACCTTAAGAAAGCCGGAAATTCTGATATCCCCATCAATGTAGCCACCAGTTTTCCGGCCAGCGAGAACGTCCATCAGAGTCGTCTTCCCGGCTCCACTGACTCCAACAAGAGCTGTAAGAACACCAGGCCTGAAAGCACCGCTAACATCTCGAAGCAGCTGGAGCCTGTCCTCCGTCACGCCTTGAGCTTTCATCTCGGCCGGCATGTCGACAAAGTAACACACGTTGTGGAACGTGAGGGACAGTGGCTCGAATGGTAGAATCATCCCCTTAGCCTGGTCATTCAGCACTTCCATCTCCACCTCGTGAAACTCTTCATCGTTTTTTCCTTTTCCATCTTCGTCACTTGACATCGCCTCCAAAACCTCCTCGGTAACCACCGCTTGAGGCTTACGGATTGGATCGAAATACGAAAGGGCCAGAGTTCCCAGCAGCTGCAGCACTAGCGTGTAGCCGACAAGCACCACCACTCCTATCCAGTACCAGTAAGTATCCGGAAACAATCCTCGAGGCTCCAATATCTCCATATATATGTCACCCCACCTTGGAGCTCTAAACTCGTTGACTGCCAGTGCGTTCTCGGCATAGGAGAGTGGCGAAACCCAGTATCCCCATATCCACCACGCAGGAATGTGAGTCCTGTCGATGACGAAGCCTCCCAGCAGGAATACAATAAGGATGCCGAACGAGCCGAAAGTGTTCGCCACGATCATGTTCCTTCCAACCGCACCAATGAATCTAAACATCGCCAGTGCCATCTGGTGCATGAGTATGAGAAGAAACATGTATCGAAAGAACCTTCCTGGCTCTGGAGAAAGCCCGACCGTGTAGTAGACGATGCACGACCATATGACCCCCTCTATTATCGAGTAGGGAATCCTCAGTATCCAGTTTGGAAGCGAAAAAGCCCAGCCTGGGAAGAAGAGGTTGCCTCTCTGTTTGTAGAACACCGGGAGCCGCAGGACCGTGATAGACATCTCCGAGAAACCGTTGAACATCATGTGCACCAGAGCGTAGAACAGCGTCGCCAGGTAGAGGTTTGCGTCTGTCGCGTTGTCCGGATGGAGCCTCGTTCTTAGAAACAGTGTTCCCGCCACGAAGGCCATGAAGGCAACCTGAGCAGTCCTGAACGTGTACAAGAACCTGTTCCGTTTGATCAGCAGCCATTCTCGCTCCGTGCATGCCTTGAACATCTGCCACTTTGAAATGCCGTACTTGGTCTTCATCAGAGCTGCGGGGTGGCTAGAGTCTTTGTTGTACGGCGTTGCGAGATAAATGCTGAGATCTTGGCCAACTTCAAAGTCCTTGAATGCCTTTGCAAAGGAAGGCACGGAGATGTACTTGTAAGGCCTGCTGTCATCAGACCAGTACTGCCGCTGGTCCTTCTTCGACGTCACCTCTTGAAGGAAATCAGCTACCGCTTTCCTCGGTGGCAACTTGAATCCCATGCTCTCGAAGAACTCTAGAATCCTGTCTCGTGGACCAAGGTAAACAATATGACCCTCGGACAGCAGCAAGACGTCGTCGAACAGCTCGAAAGTTTCCGGTGGCGGCTGGAGGAGAGCCATCAAAACCGTCGCTTCCAAGCAATGGACGAAGTTCCTCACGCACTTCACAATCTGGAACGTCGTGGAGCTGTCCAAACCTGTGGAGATCTCGTCCATCAAGAGCGTCTTCTTTGGACCGACGATCATCTCCCCGGTTGTCACGCGCTTCTTCTGTCCACCCGAGACACCCCTCAGCATATCACTTCCCACAACCGTGTCGGCACACACTTCCAGTCCCAGCATCTTCATGATATAGTTCGTCCGGACACTGTGCTTGGCCCCCTTGACGGCGCAAGCTTTCATGAAAGCATCGATGTAAGGATCCGGCCTTATGTGCGCCTCCTTCTCGCGACGAACGAGCTCCACCAGCATGTCATAGGTGAACCCCACGCCCTGGCAGCGAGCAGCAAAGTCGAGAGTCTCGCGAACAGTAAGCTCTCCGATATGGTTGTCATCCTGGCTGATGTAAGACGCGGTTCTGCGAGCTTCAAAGTCCTGGAAGCTGTGTCCATTGTAGGTGATGGAGCCCGATGTCTTGAGGCTTGGATCCAACTTTCCTGCTAGAGCTCGCAAGAGCGTCGACTTTCCAGACCCCGGCGGCCCCAGCAACAGCATCATTCTTCCCGGCTTCACCACCCCACTCACGTCCTTGAGGATCTGAATCTCTCTCTTCTTGGACGCCAGAATCCCAGAGACTGAGAGAAATCCTTCGGCCAAGTTCCTGACGAAGTTGAAGAGCGTCGGAAGAGCCCGGGAGCCGACATATGCATTGGCAGCGATGCAGAGGTTGGAAAACCTCACCTCGATCCGGGGGATTTGGACGCCGACGGCTTGAATCCTCTCGCGCAGCCTCGCCACCAGCCGCTCGTTGTCCTGCTCCGTGGTAGCAAACGCCTTCTCGAGGATTCTTTGCCGCTCCTGCGTGCTAAGCGAGCTCACATCCACGTACAGCCTCTTGTCCGCGTGATCTTGCCCCGCGCCTCCTGCCAGATCACACAGATTTCGATCAGAAGGGACCGATCGCGCAAGAATTCGGTCGAAATATCGCGAGAAAGCGATCCATCGACCAGGATTTCGATCAAGAAATCGCAAGAAGGACCGCTCTTACCTTCTTGACCCTCGATTTCCTCCAAGAATGCCGTGCGCAGGCGGCGATACGTCGGCAGCTTTTCCAACGCGGCCCAGAGTAGATCATCATCGGCAGCCCGCTCGCCAAAAGCGGAGCCGCCGCTGCCATCGTCATCGCGCCAGGATCGCCGCCCGCCATGCCGCTTCTCGAAATTGGAATCGCCGCCCAGCTCCCAGGGTCCAAGGCCCGAGGCCTCCGCCATCGCTCCTCCTCTCCTCCACCGCCCCTAAAAGAAATGTCTAGCTTTATAAAAGGGTGGCCATGCTCGGGAATATACCTCATGGCTGTGTCCTCGTTGTTATAAGTAGCGCGGTTCCACGGGCGCGCTCTCCCACTTCTATTCACAGGGGAGAGGGAAAATCGCGCCAGGCAAACGTTGGCATGGAGAGATCTTTGACGAATATCACCCCTATAGACAAGTGTCAACGTTAGACAATCGATCAAACATAATATAAAAAGAAAATAGAAGAGGACGAATCTCTACTTTTGCGCGAGAGTGAACAAAAAGGGCACAAAAAGAACTTGCGAAGAACGAGAATGGGAAAGAACTTGGAAAGGGCAAGGGAAAAAAAAATCCTCGCATTTTTTCCCATATGAGCGATCGGCGCCCGATCGCAATCGCGATCGGATAAACCCTAAGATACAAAACACCGCTTTGCCGCCTAGAAAAAATCTAGCACACAAGCCACAACTTCACGAACAGCCGTCTTAGCTCAGCCGGTAGAGCGCGTGGCTTTTAACCACGTGGTCGTGGGTTCGATCCCCACAGACGGCGCCCAATCGTCCATTGGCGGTTCGATTCTGTCTAAATAGTAGCGCGTTGTCGTGGGTTCGACTCCGACCACGTACTTTTAATGGTCTCCTCGGTAACCTTACATTTTCTCAGCGCTTCTATTGAAGTACAAACACCACACACACACACACACACCCACATACGCAAATCAAAGGCACACTCTTGGTGACAACACCACTCCACAGAAAGAGTCCCCAGTTCCAATCATAAGTACACTCATCCCTCTTCCAAGAGTTCCAAGAGACCAGGAGTGAAAACTAGGGCTGGGTTCGTGTTTACACTGTTAGGTGATGGTCAATCGCTACAAGTTATATATAAGCACAATGTTTCCAGGCATGTTTCCTCACATCTCACTTCCCTTCGCTTTGATTGCTCCATTTGAGTGCTGGTTGTTTGCTCTTCTTTAGCTCGGGAGAAGATCATCAATGGCTCGCAAGCCCAATGGAGTGGCAAACGTACTCGCCATTGGCACCGCCGTACCGCCCACATCCTTCCCCCAGAGCAGCTACCCCGAGTACTTCTTCCGTGCGACCAAATCCACTGACAAGCCCGAGATGATGCAAAAGTTCCAAAGAATCTGTAAGATTTTGCCTCGCCTTTTGATCACAAATGCGCGCGCTTTGGGCATTTGCTGTTTCTCTAAATTTAGTTGGATCTCTTCCAGGCGATCGATCTGGAATCAAGAAGCGCCACTTCTATCTCACCAGCGAGATACTCGAAAAGAACCCAGAGATTTGCAGCTACATGGGCGCATCACTGGATGCCCGGCAGGAGATCGGCGTGCGCGAGGTGCCCAAGCTGGCCAAGGAGGCAGCGAGCGCCGCGATCACGGAATGGGGGCAGCCCAAGTCGGCCATCACGCACCTCGTCCTGGGCACCACCAGCAGCATCGACATGCCGGGCGCCGATTTCCAGCTCCTCAAGCTCCTGGGCCTCCGCCCCAGCGTGAAGCGCGTGATGATCTACCAGCAGGGCTGCTTCGCCGGCGGCACGGTGCTGCGCATCGCCAAGGACCTTGCGGAGAACAACGAGAACGCGCGGGTGCTGGTCGCGTGCAGCGAGATCACCGCCGTCACCTTTCGCGCGCCGTCGGACAAGCACCTGGACGGGCTCGTCGGATCCGCGCTGTTTGGCGATGGCGCCGCGGCGCTCATCGTCGGCGCGGATCCCAGGCCGGGGATCGAGAAGCCCCTCTTCGAGATCCACTCGGCGATCCAGACGGTCCTTCCCGAGAGCGATGGGGCGATCCTGGGACACCTCCGCGAGTGCGGCCTCGTCTTCCACCTCCTCAAGGACGTCCCCGGGATCATTGCCAAGAACCTGGGCAAGGTGCTTGGGGGGATGCTGGATCGCGCGGGCGTGGCGAGCTACAACGATCTCTTCTGGGTGGTGCATCCGGGAGGCCCGGCGATCCTGGATCAGATGGTAGCGCGGCTGCAGCTGGACGAGGAGAAGATGCGCGCGACGCGCCAGGTGCTGGCGGACTTTGGAAACATGTCGAGCTCGTCGGTGCTGTTCGTGCTGGAGGAGATGAGGAAGGGATCGGCGCGGGCGGGCATGAGGAGCACCGGCGAGGGATGCGATTGGGGCATCATGCTTTGCTTTGGGCCGGGGCTCACAGTGGAGGCGTTGCTGCTCAAGAGCACCCCAGTTTGAAAGGGAATATACTTGACCTAAAATAAAGGCTAACGTTTGAAAAAGAATATGCTTATTCTAAAATAAATGGATTTAGAGCTCGTTTGAAATTAGGTCAAAGGAGGTCAACGCCATCTCCTTCTTTTTTAACATTGGTTTTCCCAAAATTTCTCTTAATACTTCTTTCTTATCAGATAGGTTCATTGAAACTGTTTCCTTTCTCGAGGTGATTCGAAGAACTTTAGATGCTGTACAGGCATTTGTAAATTCTTTTGGGGATCCGGAAGAGGAGAATAAAAGAAATGCTCAACCTAAAAGCTGTGAATCAGCCTTGCAAGCAGCGAGAAAGAATCTCCAATCCACATGTTGGAAGCTCATTCTGGTGTTTGGAGAAGTGTACCAAAGCCTTGGCCCATCGATCGAAAGAAAACTCCGCCAGCTTCCATCTTTCCCGAGCACTGCTGTGAGCGAGCGCCAATGTCACGTTGACGAAATCCTAGGGTTGCATTTGTAGCCGTCCGATCCAAACGGTCACACGAAACTTTTATTCCTGGGGCATTTTAACCCTTGTTAAAAGGTCAAAGGAGGTCGCTTTTTCTTTTGGCGTGAGCTTAGGGTTTTCAGCTATGGCGAGGGACAGGGATGTTGTCTCGCTAGGGCTGGGAATCGTCGGAGCGGCGGTGGCCGGGGCGGCAGCGGGGTATATGCTCGGAAGATCGGAGTCTCAGCTGGCCAAGTCGATCTCGGAGGCTAGTCGCACTGCTTCTGAGGTGGGAGATAAGATCGCTCTGTCCTTCGACAAAGGCATCGAGAAGATCACTCTGTCCTTCGACAAAGGCGTGGACAAAGTCGCGGCTTCTTTTGACAGAGGTGTCGCGTCGTTCGACCGCAGCATTGTGTCCTTTGATCGCGCCATTGACACCGTGGGGTCGTGGAAGATCCCGAAGAACGGCTGCAAGTTCTCGCTATGCCCATTGGTGATGATCCCGAACGAAGATCCTTAGATGGATTTGCGGAGCAATCGGCGGTGCGATCCGCAGCGGAAGCGCAAGCAAGTAAGAGCTGCCGGCGAAGCGGCCTGGCTGTGGCGGCAACGAAGCGAGCGATCGGTTTTTACTTCTTTCTTTCGTTCTCTTTCTGTTTTTGATGACGCGATTTGAGTCGGATGGCACTCTTGTATAGATTCTTTCTGCGAAGGATGCCAATGTAGATCGATTTACCGGGCGGAAATCCTTTGCGGGTCTTCTCACGTTTGCGTTTAGTTGAAAGGCTTGTTCTTTTGTTTCTCTTCTTTCTCAGGCTTTCCAGGTACCAGCCATTCGCAAGTCATGGTCCGAGGTAGAAGTTTTCTCTCTTTTCTCCATTTTTTCCCCATACATTCATTTAGTCTTGTTCACTGTCAGGCATGGTTGACGCAACTTCGCAGGATGCCTTTGCTTCATCCAGATGAGCTCGAGAAATGGTTCTTCTGCCTAAGGTGAAAAGTCTTCAACAATTGCTTTCGTCTGCTATCTTATCAGATGGATCCTCGAAGACTCCTTCCTTTCTAAAGGTATGTAGAACAACTGTACATGCATTTCTAAATCCTTTTCGGGCAGGCGACCAAAGCCATCTCCAAACTGTCCCCGTAAGCTTGTGTGTATTGACAATTTTTTTCTGGTAGAGGAGCGGGAGAGGAGACAAAAATGCTCAACCCCGAGAAGCTCGTAAGCTCGTTCTTTGCAAGTATTGCATCACAACTTTCCTAACAGGTCTTTCAAGGAAAGCTCGTGATCCGGCTCTTCCAGCGAATGTACCGAGAGGACTGGATCACTCTGGTGACAGTCTTCGAGGCGTCTTGGCAACTAAGAACATGGTAATAGAATTCACGCTTTTCTTAGGACCATGTATCAAAAGTGTGAGAGTCTGAACGATGCTTGCTTGATTTCCCGAAGAGTGGAACCAGTGTAGACCTCTGGAGTCTCGGCTTTGGAAGAATGACAGGATAAGGAGATCATCAAGCTCTGGAGGACACTCACTGTCTCTTGGGCATCTCTTTGTCAAGGATGATGCATGAGGATGGCCAGGATTCAGCTCCAAAACTCCAGCCAACGTTGGGATCAGCCTTGCAAGCAGCGAGAAAGCATCTCCAGTCCAGATGAAACGGGATGTTGGCGATGGGGTCTTCGGCAGTCCTGCATGCAACTGTTATGCAGCTTGGTGATCTTGGTCACTGGAGAAAAAAAACTGCTCAACCCCGAGGAGATGTCCTTCTCTGAAAGTACAAGTTCTATCAAGGATCCGGCTCCAGCGAATGTAGCGAGAGGACTGGATCACTCTGGTGACAATCTTCGAGGCCTCTTGGCAACCATGGTAAGTGATGTAGTTTCCTCAGGACCATGTATAAGAGTCTAAACGATGCTTGTTTGGTGTTCAGGAGAGTGGAACAATCTGGAGTCTCGGCTTTGGAAGAGTGACAGGTTAAGCTCTAGAGCTTTGGAGCTGATTCGATCAATGACCAAAGCCTTGACACATCCATCGATGGAGAAAGCAAACTCGGCCACCTTTCATCAACTCAACGAAAGCAAGCCTCGTCTGGGAGAATCTCCATGGATCCTGAGAGCGTGAGAGAGAGCACACTGTCGCCATACATCAAAATGACGTTCAGGCATGCCCACAAGCTGCGCGTAGCAGTGCCGCCTCGGTGGCCGAGATCACATTGTGGACCAGCATCGGCTTGATCGATCGCGTGCAAGCGGAGATCACATGCAAGCGGAGATCACATTGATATCAATGTACTTGGATTCAAATAGCTCACCTAGATCGACTCATTTAGAGATTACAAGGTCCTTTCATTAAAGATCTCTTTAGTCTTGTGCTAAGAACGCCATGATCTCGAAGAAAACACAAAAAACCGTAAATAGCTGCGCAGCCGGGGAATCGAACCCCGGTCAGTACCGTGGGAGGGTACTATGATACCACTACACCAGCTGCGCCTCATAATAATTAACTTGGTTTATCTTAGTTGACTTTCTATTACGTTTGCCCTTATCAAATTAGGGCGCCCGAGAAATGGGATCGTTGCAAGGTAGGAAGAAAGGAATCCTCGTCGTCATCGTCTCGCTGCTGGCAGTGGCGAGATTATCCACCACCGCTGCATCGGGCTCGGAGCTTGTGTCAGCGCTGTGCAACTCGGCGCTCTACTCTTTCGGCGATCCGTTTGGCAAGAATCTGGGCCTTGTGCTGGACGATCTCCTCGGCACCACACCCGGGCGCGACTTCAAGGACTACACCGCCATCTCGCCCAGGCCCAGCCGCTTCGTCTACGGCCATGCCAAGTGCCGCCACGCCTTGAGCGCGGGCGAGTGTGGCGTTTGCCTCAAGGGCGTGGCCGCGGCCCTGGCGGATCAGTGTGGCAATGCCGTCGGCGGCCGCGCTATGTTTGTGGATTGCTTCATGAGATACGAGGCGTACCCCTTTGGGGACGAGGAGCCGGCTTGGAGCATATCTTAGGCGAAAGATCTCTTTCCAGTTGTAATGACGAGTAGAAAATTATGAGAGAAAAAAAAAAAGTTCCGTGGCTCACATTATCAAGTGATTTACTTAGAACTAAACTCTCACAGAAATTGACAAACCTTTGGCATTCTTCACGTGAAGAGTAATTGCTTTCAGAAGAAAAAAAAAAGTGAGGGAAATTGTTATAAAGAGTAAGACAGAAATTAGCATACCTTGGCAATTTTCCAAAAGAAAAAAGAAACTGAAAAAGATTTACAATTAAATTGAATTTTATAAGTGTTTTGGATTATATTGGGTCAGCTTAAAAAAGATAATATAATAACTGAAAAGATTACAAATTTTTCTTTTTATCATTAGTATTAAAATATAGTCTGATATATTTAACACACACAAACATGATAACAATACAATTATGTCCAAATCTTTTATAACCTTTACTTAAATAAGGTATTTGTTTTCATTTTAATTTCCACTTTAAATGATAGTTGTAAATTAGTTTTATTATTGCAATATAATGCATCACCATAAATAATTTATTAGTATTACTTTTTAAAATAGCTGATTTATAAATTAATTTTCTCATTCATTTAGTAGGTTAAATTGTTTGATATATTTTAGTTTTATTATATTTGAATAGTCTATGCTAAATTGTAAATCATAATAATTTTTATTGATCTTATTAGAAAAACAATTTTAGCAAGGCTAATATAAATCCTTAAAGATATTTAAGCACAATCTGTTAAGTTATTGGTTTGTAATACATCAAATCCAAAAAGCTTTATAGTTAAGAAACTTTTCATTTAAGAATGAACAATTTAGACAATAAATGCTTATATAACTCACTTAAATTTATTTGTAAAATCCTCTCTTTTTTTAAAAATGTAGGCTGACAACCTGTAATTATCGTAAAGTGAATGACATCCAACTATTAATTTATAATTTTAAAATTTTAATTAAAATGAACTTTTATAAACATATTGTTATTAAACTATCTAATTTAGCTGGATAGAATATCCAAAACTTTGGTACAAAACGAATATTCACCAGGCGTACTGCGGGTTCACGTTCCAAGCTTTGATTTTCAACAGGAGTCAGTATAGAGTTGCAGAGAGAGCTGCAATTGCCAAGTATTCTCTGTGCAACTTCCTTCACATCTCAGGGCTCCTTTTTGTTTTCCACTGCCCCCCTTTCCAATCTACAAGACCAAGCTCCTACAAAAGCTTTAAATGCCTAGTAGAGATAACTTGTTTGTTTTTGCTCTTTTGTTCTCATTTCTTTGTTTCTGTTATTTTCTGGGAGAGAAAGATCTTGGGTGAGAAAATGAAGAGGAGCAGTGCACTGCTTTCAATCTTCCTCGCAGTTGCTCCGGTGCTCATCGTCGCCGAGATCGCGATTTTCCCTCGCCTCGCCACTGACTTCTACGTGAGATCCTGCCCGGAGCTCCCTAGCATCGTGCGGCGCGTCATTGCGGCCAAGTTTGCGCAGACGCCAGTGGCCGCTGCTGGGATGCTGCGGATCTTCTTCCACGATTGCATGGTTGAGGTAAAACAGCCTTGCGGATCGTTCCTGTTCTTGGCTTGGCGCATTCTAAAAGTTTAACTTTGTTTCTTCGAAAGGGGTGTGATGCCTCAGTGCTAGTCGCGTCCACTCCGAGCAACAAGGCTGAGAAGGATGCCGAGATCAATCTCTCCTTGCCTGGAGATGGATTTGACGCGGTGATCAAGGCCAAGGCCGCGGTGGAATCAAAGTGTCCCGGCGTTGTCTCCTGTGCTGACATTCTTGCTTTGAGCACCCGAGAGCTCGTCGTCCTGGTAAGAAACTGAGAGACAACATCTTAACGTTTGCAAAGCTTCCGTTTTCTACAGATTGGAGGGCCCTCTTGGGAAGTTCGTCTTGGTCGGAGAGATGGCACGGTCTCGAAAGCTTCCAGAGTTCCTGGAAATCTCCCCATGCCAAACATGACAGTGGCAGAGCTAACTTCGCTCTTCGCCTCCAAAGGCCTCTCTCTCCAGGACATGGTGGCGCTCACCGGTATGAACTCCTTCCCTTTCACTCCAATCCTATACCTGATCTCATACGCTCAAGACAGTTCAAAGCTTCTCAGAGCATTTGCCTTCGTTTTTACTTTCCAAGCATTTTTTCCTCGCACCGTGCTAGTCAATCGAGAGATCATTCACGCTTGGGTTAGCATCCATACATCCCGGAACAATAAAACCATTCCCACGATCTTACATGACATAAATTCTTTCTCTACATTCTTGTACTGCTGACACCCGCAGTCCTCGATCGATCGATCGCTGGATGCATTTATTCCATCCCAGGAGGAGGCCACACCGCTGGATTCGCGCACTGCAACCAATTCATGGACCGCATTTATGGAACCATCGATCCCACCATGAATCCCTCCTACGCTGCCGAGCTCCGCCAGGCGTGCCCGAGGGGCCCGACTCTGGATCCAACCGTGGTCACGCACCTCGACCCCTCCACCCCCGACCTCTTCGACAACGCCTTCTTCAAGAACACACTGTACGGGCGAGGATTGCTGCGCTCCGACCAGGCCCTCTTCTCCACCTCCAACTCTTCCGCGAGGCCGCTCGTCAATCTCTTTGCTGGATCGCAGCCGCGATTCTTCGAGGCGTTCGGCGTCGCCATGGACAAGCTCGGCGGCATTGGCGTCAAGACGGGAGGACAGGGAGAGATCCGCCGGGATTGCGCTGCCTTCAACCATGCCTGATTAGTTTATACATAAGTGTAATTTTAATAACAAAAGTAATCTATTATTGTGAGGTTCAAGTGTATAATTACAATGTGAGTGCATGGAATATAAAAAAAATATAAAAAATGTACATCCAAAAACTTTAGTTTATATACAAAAGTGAATGGTCTAGATTAAAACTAATTTAATGGTTATCAAAATTTTATTACACTAATATTAGTATATAACATTATAGTTATACATTTGAACCTCATATAATTTCTTTCTGCACTCACATTATTTATAGAAATAATTGAAGAAACTTGTATAATAAATGAAAATGTTAACAAGAAAATGCTGCTAAGATAATGGTGACAAAAAAGCTGTACTTTGCCTATTTAGGGCTAAACAGAGCCCCCTGTTTCTAGGGTTTTGTTGATTCGAACAGAGAAAAAGAGAATAACCATGCCAGAAATCGACAAGAATGGCTGATATCACACTACATGGATCGTTTTGATCGAATCGTCCGCGCGGTGGCGGCTCATTCACCACCATTTCCTGCGCGTCTCTACTCTCAGATCCCTCGGCGCGCCCAAACCAGTTCTCCATTCGATCCGATGCTCCTCCTGGCGACGATGGCGACGATACTCGCCCCCAGTCCCTCTCCACGGTACGCTCCATTCCTCCCCCCTCTCCTCCTCCTCGTCGTCATCACCATCGCCAAGCTCGCGCTCTCCACCCAAGACTACAACGAGCAAGACCAGCTGGGCTACAAGTGCTCCGCCTCTCCATTTTTCTCCTCCTGCCCGGCGCAGCTCGTGTTCCTCGCCAAAAAGGGTCGATCTCTCCAAGATATCTCCGACCAATTCAAGGCACCAGTCCCGGACATACTCTCCTCGAACCCCCCGGATTCGATCAACGCCACCTTCTCGATCGATCAGCTCCTGCTCGTGCCAGTCCCCTGTTCTTGCAACTCCACCACCAACAGATCCTCCGCCACCGTCAGCTACAAAGTCCGCCCCGGCGACATTTACTTCTCCATCGCCAACGATGTCTTCCACTTCCTCACCACCGATACCGCCATCGAGGCCTCCAATCCCGGAATGATCCCCACGAATCTCGTGGTTGGCAGCCAGATCCAGGTGCCGCTGCGCTGCGCCTGCTCGGATCGAGTTGGCCTCCACCTCGTCACGTACGTGCTGGGCGACGTTGATCGATCGCCCTCGATCGCGAGCGTGGACGGCGAGCTCGGGGTCGATGAGAAGGAGCTGCTGGAAGAGAACCGGCTCGAGAACACGAAGCTCCAGCCAGGAACAACGCTGCTGGTTCCCGTGAGAGATGGTTCCACGCTCAAACTGCCGGCCGTGCCGGCGCCACCGCCACCGCCAGCTGATGCTCCAGCGATCCCCCCGAAGCGGGGCTCCGGATGGAAGTTCTATCTCGGGATCACGAGTGCCGCGGTGGGGATCTTCCTCCTGTTCCTCACTGCCATCTCCGTGGTCGTGCTCAAGCGGCGCCGCAAGGTGGCGGGGAAGATGGTGTCCGACACTATCGTTCTCCCCAGCCAGGATCACAAGCTCTTGTCGCCGCCGTTCTTCTCGCCCAAGAACTCGTCCACTCGACCCAACGGCGCCAAGCTCAGCATGCCCGACGTGCTCGACGCGGTGAAGCCGACCTGGTACTCGCTCCAGGAGATCCGCGACGCCACCGGCGACTTTGATCCGGCTGCCAGGATCCCGGGCTCCTCGTCCATGTACGTGGCTGTTCTTCGCGGGACCAAGGTGGCGATCAAAAAGGCCGAGGACGGCACCACCAGCACCCGGGTTCTCTGCCGCGTCCACCACGCCAATCTCATCGCGCTCGTCGGCGCTTGCCACGACGAGGACACGAACCAGACGTTCCTCGCGTATGAGTTTGCCGAGAATGGATCGCTTCGCAAGTGCCTCGCTGCCGCTCGACGATCTTCGCTAGATGGTGGTGATCCCTCCTCTCGAAAATCGTCGCCAACTGGTGCTTTCACTGCTGCTCCTCTCGATCGCGGAGTTATCCTCGGCTGGAAGATGAGGCTGGCGATCGCGCTGGATGTGGCCAGGGGGCTCGAGTACCTCCACAACTACGCGCGGCCGGGCTTTGTCCACAAAAACATCCGGAGTAGCAACGTTCTTCTCGACGCAGCGTACCAGGCCAAGATCTCCAGCTTCCAAAAGGCGAAAGAATCGGAGAAATTCCTCGGCCCCAGCGCTCCAACCGAGGATCTTAGCACCACGATCGCCATCGACAGCCATAGCCAGGGCTACAAGGCCCCGGAGTACCTCCTCCACGGCACCGTCACCACCAAGATCGACGTCTTCGCGTTTGGCGTCGTGCTGCTGGAGCTCCTGACGGGGTTGGAGCCGATAATCCAGCCATCGGAGCTGCGTTCTTGGAAGAAGAAGGGCCTCCCATCCGGGAAGATCAATCCGGTGTTCCTGTACGAGGCGATTTACTCCGACTTGGACCGGGAGGCCGATTCCCTGCTGGATTGGATCGATCCGGCGCTGCTAGAGGCAAGTGACCCTGATTTCTCGGTCCAGAATGCCGCGACGCTGGCATTCCTGGCGAGGACTTGCCTGGAGATGGATCCAAAGAAGCGGCCGACGATGCGGGATCTCGCGTGGGCGCTCTCGCAAATGCGAGACTCTCCTCCAGTTTGACCTAAAATAAGTTTAGGGTTCTAGCGCGCAAGGGTTTAAGGAAAGAAAGAAAATGCACTCCTCGATCGGGCTCCTCCCCCCTCCCCCGATTTCTTCCTCCAGGAAGCGCTGGATGATGGCGCCATCGCCGCCCTGCTGCTGCGATGTCCTCTCGCGCCTCTCAGTGAGCGCATTTCGCTCGGATTATTCCATGGAGGAGCCGCCGACCGATCACGAGGTGAGAATGCCGCAGTTTCCAGGAGCGGGGAGGTTCGTGGACACAGGGCAGCAGTGTGCAACGGGAAATATTGCTAGAAATTCGTCCCGGCGGCCGCAAAAGCAACCGGGAAGGAAGGAGTGGGAGAGTCAGACAGGGAAAAACTCTCCCAGAGCGAGAAAACAGCACAGTGCTCACGTTTCTTCGATTCTCGCGGCTCTAGCAGAGAGAAATTCCTCCGTCTCCTTGGTGCTGGATCGAGCCGGCAGGCTGGAGAGTCGAGAGCTATCGAGAATTCTCAGCGAGCAGCGTGACTGGAGGAAGGCGATCGAGGTTTTCAGCTGGTTCCAGCGGCAAGACAACTACGAGGCCAACGTCTTTCTCTACAACATCTTGCTTAGAACACTGGGCAGGGCCGCGAAGTGGGAGCTTCTCCAAAAGTACTGGAGTGAGATGCTTGGCGAGCGAGTCCCCCCGACGATCTTCACGTACAGCATCTTGGTGGACGTTCACGGACGAGCAGGCATGAAAGACGAGGCCATTCGTTTCTACCGGCATATGATCGAGAGTGGAGTGGAGCCGGACGAAGTCATGGTGAGTACTTATATGAATCTCCAGCGAAGATTTGGAGACTTGGAAGAGGCCGAGAAGGCGTTTTGGGGTCTCTTCTCGGAGAACTTAGTGGATGGCACCACGAAGAGGCCTGAGAATCCAGAGACTTACAACACCATGATAAGTTTCTACGGCGAGCACGCGAAGTTTGCCGAGGGGTCCAAGGTTTTCGCGGAGATGATGAAGGCCGGGGTGGAGCTCACTACTGTTACTTTCAACGCGATGATCCACGTCTATGGGAAAGCTGGCCGGACCAGAGAAGCCGAGCTGCTAGTGACCAATATGAAGCAGCGGAAGGATTGTTGCCCGGACGTCGCGACTTACAACTCCCTGATCGAGATGTACGTGAAGAACGACAAGCTGGAGCTTGTTTCCGGGTGCCTGGAGAGAATGCGCGACTCTGGAGTGTCCGCGGATCAAGTGACTTTCAGGACGCTTATCAGTGCCTACGCTGCAAACAACGTCGTCTGGAAGGCCGAGGCTCTTGTCCAAGAGATGGAAGGCTCCGGGTTTCTCATAGACCAGGCGATGTACACCGTGATGATCGCCATGTATGTCCGAGCTCGAGACGTCCCGAAGGCCGAGTCGGTGTTTCGTTTCCTCCATTCTCGGGGAGGATTGGAAGTCAGCACCTATGTCGGGGTGATGGACGTTTACGCCGAGCACAAGTGCCTGGACCAAGCACGGGAAGTTTTCGAGCTCGCCAAGAACGCGGGCTTGAAGACTCCATCGCTATACAACGTGATGATGAAAGCTTACGGCGCTTGCGACCGGTTTACCGACGCTGTGACCGTTTTCGAAGCTATGGAGAAAGATGGAGCGAGTCCCAACGAAGCGTCTTTCAACTCACTGATACAGCTCCTCTGCAAAGGGAGACTTTTGGAGATCTTGCAAAGAGTTTTGGTGCTCGTGAAGGCAGCGGGATTCAAGCCAAGCCTGGCTTCGTGCTCCTCGGTTGTCAGCTTCTACGGTGACATGGGACGGGTCAGAGAAGCCGAGAGGGTGTTCAAGGAAATGCTAGCATCCGGTGTTGAGGCGGACGTTATCTGCTACAGTGCCTTGCTCAACGCGTATGCCGAAGCAGGATTCGCGAGAGAGGCACAGCAGACGCTCGACAGCCTCAAAGCCGCTGGCTTTGTCCCGGACACGATCGTCTACACGTCGATGATGAAACTCTACAGTAACTTGGGACTGATAGCGGAGGCCGAGAAGATCTACGAGGAGATAAGCAGGCTAAGTCCGGACGTTTTCGCGGCCAACACGATGCTCAACCTCTACATCAAGTCGGGAATGTTTACAGAGGCCGAGCAGCTCTTTCGAGCCATGCAGCGCGGGAAGCCGGGACTTAACGAAGTGGCTTGCACGATGATGCTCAAGCTCTATAGGGAGGCCGGGAAGATCGAGCAAGGACTGGACGTCGCCAGGGTCATGTCGAGGCGCTTCCTCATCACGGACGCTCGGGCTTTCAACGTTGTCATAGCCATGTACGTGAAGGCCGGGCTGATGAGAGAAGCACTGGAGGCTCTCAAGGAGATGAGGCGAGCCGGGCTGGTCCCGAGCAGGAGCACCTTTAGCTGCTTCGAGGAGATTTTGGAGAGAGCTGGAATGGTTCCTGGAGAGTTCATCCAGAGGCTTGAGCAAAGCAGCACGAGCCTGGAGACGATGGTGGTGCTAACTTTGCTCTACGCGCAAGCCGGGATGAGCGACGAGGCCGCCGAGATCGCGTTCGCCATCCAGAGGGCCGAGAGAGACGAGGGACTCTCGCTCGGCGTGGACGCCTACAACGCGCTGATTTACTCGTTTGGAAAGGCTGGGAAGCTGGACGTGGCGCTCCAAGTTTACTCGCGGATGAAGGCCAGGGGTGTGGAGCTCAACGAAGCGAGCTATGGGAGCGTGATCGCTGCCTACGGGAAAGTCGGGCTTTTGGAAGGCGTTGGGAGGATGTTTAGGAGGCTCAAGGAGTGTGGCTTCCAGCCGAGCCCCGCAACTTATAGGACAGTTTTGGAGGTTTATAGAGAAGCTGGACGGATGGATCTGGCAAGTATGGTGGCGCAGGAGTTTCACTTCTCAGAGTATGTGAGGCAAGGAATGCACCAAGGAGACACGTTTGAACAGGAATTATAAACATAGATAGTTGGCGAAAGCTTCCATTCAGTAAAAATTTAAAGTTCGGTCTAGTGATCGATTCCAAAGCATGTATGTACATCTTAGGGCTAGTCAGAAATTTATATTGTTGTTTTTAATTAAGAATTAATATTAGTTAAATTTGTTCAAACACAAACAGAAAGTGACTTATAAGATAAAATACAATTACGCTCCAACTCAATCTCTACTCCTCTATTTAAGAAGCTTTTTTCTAAGCAAAATACTTTTTATGTTAATATGATGTGGGTTTGGATGCTAATCTGACATTGTTTAAGAGACAATAAACAAATGCACACTTAGGTGTGCATGAGTTTATTCTTCAATTAATGGTGTACTGAGCTTAAATAGAGTTATATTAATTGAAAATATTAGCATTAAACACTAATTACATATATGCAATCACAAAAGTTAGAAAAAATAAATTTGTTGTGCGTTGCATACAGCAACGCTTGGTTTGCTTAATTGTAGTGTCATTCTTATTTAGTATTTCTGAATAATTCAATTCATGTCTATAATCTATAAATCAATATTAATATTATTCCATTAAAATAAATAAGAATATACTAAAAAGTGTTTAGGAAAATTTATAAATTTTAAATAGAAGATTAATCTAAATAAATAACGACCGTTAGATGGTAGAATATCCTAGAATATCTAAGCATATTCTAGATACACCTACAGGTTTTGCTTAAGCAAACCAAAAAGTATAATACAATCTTAAACATAGAGCAATATTGTAAACCTTGTAATTAAGCACAAAACATTGGTTAGATCTGTGACTACGTGGAAATAAAGCCAGGTGCCAAAATTTCAAAATTGCAATATTAGAATCATAAGAATTAAACTTTTTGCAAAATTGTGACAAAAAGGTAACATTACACTCCTTCTTGGGCCGCGGGCCGCCACTGGTTGGTTGACCACATTTCCAATCACAGCATTTTAAAAAGTATTAGAAATCTCAACGCCACGCTATCTCAAAATTTTTGGTTGGTTGCTTGGTTTTGGTGCTTTGCCGCGTCATCAACCGACAGGAATCCATTATCTCGAAACCGTACGATATTCTCGTGCAATAGTCTTGCCGCCGTACAGATCCCCTGTTCTTGGGCCGGTTAACAGTGGAAATCGCGGTAGGCAGTCGCGATCTTGCTCGCGCTGGAGCGCCAACGAAGGGAAGGATCGTCCTCTCCATATCGCTATCCTCGCAACATTTTCACATTCCTTCTCTCTCGAGATGCTCCAGGGACTGGCATGATCTCAGTGATCCCAGTGAAGCCACAATCTTGTAAACAAGGGGATTGTTTCGCTCCGCTTCTATTCTCACGCCCGGATCTCGTTGAGAGCGCATACAAACTCCGGGCCCCTGTATGCTAGAGCCAAATTGCCACCCGCGGCGGCAAAGAAGCGCGATCCTTGCCCTAGCGCGCATCCGCGGCGGCGGCACGCATCCAAGGCGCCGGCCAGCGACCGGGATCGGCATCGAAATTCTCAGGTCAGGGCTTGGATCGTAGCTCCGGGGATGGATTCCGGGGGTTAGGGATTGCTGCTGGCTATGCGGCGGCTGTGCCGGCTTGGCGACACTGAGATCAATGGTGCGGAGCCACGGCTGGCAGCTGCCTGCGCACGGGTTTCAGGTAAATGCGGCACCGTGGAATTCGACCAAGTGAGCGAGCTCTTTTTGCAGGTTGTGGCGATCACTGTGTTCTTCCCCCTCGTAGTCGCGTACTTCGTGTTTTTCGCGCCTTTCATTGGGCCCAATCCGTGGCAGTATATCGTAATTGGGTGTTACTCGGTCTTGGTGAGTCTTTCTTCGCAATTTCTCACTCTTGGAATTTGTTAAGCGCTCAATTTCGTTAACTTTGCAGGCACTTGTGGTGTTCTTTCTTTACGTCAGATGCACGGGAATCAATCCTGCGGACTCTAGCAAGTACCTGAGCTAAACTTCTTTGCAAAAACAGATCGTGGATTTGGCAACCTTGACAGGAGCGTGCATTATCGCGTTGGGCAACGAGATTGGAGGTAACGTCCTCTCTTAGAATTGTTTTTCTAACTCCATGGCAAAACAGGCATGTTTACTCCCAGCGACGAACTCGCGGACGAACTGTCCCAAGCGTCAAGCGCCGCCGGAGAGAAGCTATGGCGGATAGATGATGAAGTTGGGAATCGCGGACATGGTGAACACGGGTGGACGTCCTGGCGGATCCATAACGGCGTCGCTCTTCTTGAAACAGGTACTCCTTTCGTTTTGTTCTTGTGGAAGAACTTCTAATCTCTTCCATTCTTGATGGATGGACAGTTTGTCGATGAGAAAATCCCTTGGGCTCATCTCGACATCGCCGGACCCGTGTGGAACGAGAAGAAGAAAATGGCGACTGGATTCGCTGTGGGGACCTTGGTGGAATGGGTTTCGAAGCACGCATCCTCCTCGTAAAGTAAAAAAAAAGAGGTTGGTTTTTCCCACAGCAGGATTGTTTCTTGAGGCTCATTTTTGCTCGGTCGTTAATCCCGAAATTAGCATATTCTTTGATCCATGGGCGAATCTTAACCTTCAGTAGTTCATGCTGGAACTATCGCTAGCCGCGCGGCATATGCGCGCAATAAGCACAGCAACACACAAATGCCCCACACCCGCGGTAAATATTTGCTTTCCATCTACTGTGGTAATGGTAATGCAAGCCGGGGTAGGTGAAAAAATTAAAAATCACCGCACGGATCTGGGCCGTGGGATGAGCTCGAGCGGCCCATTTGCGACCGCACGATGCGCTCCTTCTTACGGCATTTTAAAAAGTATTAGAAATCTCAACGCTATCTCAAAATTTTTGGTTGGTTTTGGTGCTTTGCCGCGTCATCAACCGTACAGGAATACTCTAAACTCGTGCGCCACGTGTTATGTCCATCCCTTTTCACATTACAACAATTATACCTTGATCGCGTTTCATATTTGGTCGTGATAGATACGCTGTGCGGTTTGTTCTAGGGCGCGAACGAGAAAACGACTGTTAAGCGTGGGAGAGCAAGAAGAAGCGCGAGAAGGCTCGATGCTGTGTGAGTGCCCTCTTTCCTTCCTCCCCGATTGCCCTCTTTTTCTCCCCTCATGGCTGCGATTTTTTGTTGTGAAGCAGGAAATGAGAGCGTCGTCGTTACTCCACGTCGAGTCAGGATCGATGAGCGCGCGACAAGAGCTGTCGAGCAGAAGCTTGTTCGGCTTGCCTTGCTCACAGGCGAGGAGGAAAATCAAGAGCTCTACAGCCCAAGCGACTTGATCATCGGAACAGCTCCCAACGCTGAAGCTTTCTCCAGGTGAGCAACCAAGAATGCTTCTAACCGTCGATGCTTCTACCGTCAATGCTTTCAGGTGGGCATCGGGAAACAGGAAGTTCCTCTGTGATTTCATCGGAGGAAAGATCATCGCAAGGGAACTCCCGCATAACCCCCATGGGCAAGCTCAGTTGAAGGTGGGAGCTGCTTTTGACGCACAAGCAGGTGGATTGCTTGTGGTGGCGACGGCTGTTACCTACAAGCCGGATTTCGGGGGGGATCTTTACGAGCCTGACGTGACAGTGCAAGTGCGTGGACAAAGTTCTATTCTTCCTCCTGGTGTCACGGCTTTGAGAACCTACGGGGCTATCGTCATCGAGATCGCAACATCCCAGACGCCCAAGAATCTTCACGAGCGAGCTGCGATCTTCCTTGGACCAGACTATCCTCGTTGCGAGCTCTATATCGGTCTCAAAAGGTTCAACGAGAGAGCTAATGGAACTATCGCTATGTTGGCTTCGGTCTATGAAAGGCCAGGAGCTGGCGGAGGGGCGGCCGGAGCTGGAGGTGGAGCAAGGGGTGGGGGACCAATGCCCATCCGGCTTGTCTCATTTGGGACCTGCCCTTTGGGCCCAAATGCAACCTGGAGAAATTCTCCGATTCTCACCAGGGTTGGACATGGTGGCCTTGCTTTAAATGGTCCAGGACTTGCATCTTACATCCTGTGCTTCCCAGCTCCACAGGTTTTTACGACGTTTGTTCCTCCTGGAGGTGGAGCAGTGGGAGTTCCACCAGCTGGTGCACCTGTGAACTACGAGTTGGATCTTTATTATATCCAACAAGCTTTTTTATGCCCTTTTGAACCCACGTATTGAAATTTATGCAATATACTTGTAATTCCTTTTTATAAGTAATATAAAAAGAGTTTTACTTTAGCATGTGTTTCATATTAAATGCTGATGATTTGGATCTTTATTTGTTCTCTCTTGGATGTTGTCCAGGTTTCGTGAGAAGTGACAAAGAGAAAATTTGTGGTGATTCTATAAAAGGGATCATTACCGAGATTTTTCTAAATTTTAAACCCTGGTATCATATGTTGATCAATTTAAGAAGTTTACATGAAGAAAACTAGAGAAGAATTGAAAAGTTCTTGGATTGTAAACAACATGATATGCCTCTTCTTCCCATGACCAGACTCCCCAATGAAAACATATAGTAGATAGTTCAGCTATGATTTTGCTTTTGCATTTGTCTCTTGATAACAACCATACTTCATATTATTGATGGAGGCATGTGTGTAGTGTTTACCACTAGAATTTTCGAATCAATAGGGATAGGGATGTTAATGCGAAGTTAAATAATTAGAAATTCTAGAATATTTAAGAATATCCTAGGTATATCCACATCTATATAAAGATTAGTGTTTCTTTAGCTAATAAAAACTTCAATTAAATTTAAACAAATAAAGTTTCTAGAATGTTAAATATTTTTCATTTAAACCTATAATAAAAAAAACTAAATATAGATCAAAATAATTCATGTTAATTAAACATCACATATGTACCTCTTGGGATATTGCAAATAAAGTTCTAAACATATTTACATTTACATGTATATGACTACCAAAAGCTATTATATATATAACACAATTGAACATGATTAAAATAATGTGAAAAAACCTAATAAAAAATCTAGGAGAAAGGGTTTTATATTATTTATTTAATATATAAATCATTTATTATATTATAAGAATTTTAATTTTAATACTAATTTTTCTTGGGAATTTAAGTAAGAAAATTCAAATTTCACAACATACAGCTTCACTGTGGGCATTGGTGCTGCCATTGATTCTTTTTTTCTTTCATTCAAAATTGATGTACAAAGGAAAAGCATTAGGAGGTACTACTTGGCACTAGGAGCTGCTTTTGCCATGTTTGCCATCCCAACCCACGCAACAATTCCAATAGCCAGAACCACCCATCCAAGAACATCATAGGCCAAATCACTGCGCTTGGACGATTTCTTCTTCTTTCCCTAGAAAGCTTCGTGAAAACTGTAGATTTTAAACCCAGTGATGGAAGTGTTTTTACCTTGTTTCCGCTTCTACTCGACGATGATGAAGCGTTGATCGCCATCCCTTGAGAAGCGAGCTGTACCTGGAGCTCTTGATGGAGCAATGGTGCCTGTAAAAAAAGCTCTAGAACAATTCACGGGGAAAAGAGTGTTTGCAACGTACTTGGCGAGCCATTTCTAGGGACTTGGAGTAAACTTCGCTGGGTTCCTGGAAGAAAAAAAAGGATAACATCACAACGATTGCAAAAACGAAGCTATGCTTTTCACCTCGTTGTATGCATCCTGGAAGCAAGTAGCTGCCTTCTTAAAATGCTCGCTAGCCTCTAAAACATCGGCTACGAGGAACCCATGGCACGTGTGAGCGTTTCCTAGAATCCAGAGCGTTTGGTGCTTCTTTGGATTGATCTTTAGCGCAGCTTCTAGCTTGGAGATTGAATCTACAAGAACAACGAGAGTGATTTGAATGGAAAAAATAAATCCAACCTTCTACAAGCGGGACCGATTCATCGCCCTGTTGAAAATGCGCTAGCTCGAGCAGAGCGTTCCCCCAGTTCGTTAGGTTCTAAGAAAAAAATCATTTAATCGCAAGGATCCAGAGCATTTGGATTGAATGGCGCGATTGCTTACCTCTGGATCGTGAGGGCTGCGGAGATACTCCGCGGCGCAGCGCTCGCGCATTGCCTCGAAGAAGACGAGGCGCTCCATATCGGTCTGCGGGAGCCCGTCGTCCATGGCGTATCAAATGCCGCCCCCACAATGATTTAGGGTTCTTGGGACTAGGGTTTTTGATAGGGTCCCTGTTGCTATGGCGGATCTGCCGGCGCAAGAGGATGCCGCTGCTGCGGCTGCGATTCAGGAGAAAGTGAAACTGGCGCTGAGCGTCGGCGAAGAATGCACTGGCGCCGAGGATCTGGCCGCGCTCTTCAAGAACAAGCCGACTCCTCCGATCTGCTACGATGGATTTGAACCGTCTGGCAGAGTCCACATCGCTCAGGTGAGGGAGTTTGTTCTTCGCGCCTTAATTCGTTTTGTCTTTCCACCCTTTGATCGCAGGGAGTGATGAAGGCACTGAATGTTAACAAATTGACAAGCTCTGGATGCGTGTTTAAGTTCTGGGTCGCGGACTGGTTTGCGCAGCTCAACAACAAGATGGGAGGCGATCTCCACAAGATCCAGACCGTGGGGCGCTACATGATCGAAGTGTGGAAGGCTGTTGGTATGAATCTCAATCAGGTGGAGTTTCTATGGTCTTCTCACGAGATCAACTCGAGGGCCGAGGAGTACTGGAAGCTTGTCTTTGATATCGCTCGCAGGAACAACCTTCCTCGTATTCTAAGGCAAGTAACGTTGTCATAATTCGACCAAGTGACTCATGAAGGTCTTACACGGTTCTTTTTTGTATATATATTTTTTTTCTTCCTTTGTCTTCTTTTCCTTGTCTAGATGCTCGCAAATTATGGGACGGACCAATCCAAAAGAGCTTTCGGTGTCTGCAATCATGTACGCGTGCATGCAGTGCGCGGATGTATTCTTCCTCAAGGTGAGCACGGGCATTTCCAGTATCAAGTTTCGGAAATACTCCAACTTTTCTTTTCTTCCGCAGGCTGATATTTGTCAGCTTGGACTCGATCAGAGAAAAGTGAACATGCTTGCAAGAGAGTATGCTTCTGCTACCAAACGGAAATTCAAACCAATTATTTTGTCTCATCGTATGCTTAAGTTTTCAATTATATTTTTTTGTTGTTTTCACATTTTGACTTATTTTTGTTTTCTCTTTATTCTAGATATGCTGCCGGGGCTGAAGGAAGGTCAGCTGAAGATGTCGAAAAGTGATCCCGAGTCTGCGATATTTATGGAAGACGAAGAGGTATGGCACACAGCGCTAAGAAATGCTCGATACTAATATTTTAGACAGGATGATGTGAACAGGAAAATTGCAGGTGCGTTCTGTCCGAACGTTGTGGAAGGGAACCCGTGCTTGGAATACGTGAAGTACGTCGTCATCCCGTGGCATGGCCGATTTGAGCTCTGCCGTTCAGAAGAAAGAGGCGGAAACCTGTAAGCTCGCGTTTCTTTTACTATTTCCGTGGTCTCTATAACGTCAATTTCTTACAGTACCTACGAGTCAGCTGAGAAGCTGAATGGCGACTTCGAGTCAGGACTGATAAGTTCCGATGAGATCAAGACGTCTTTGGCAAAATCACTCAATCTAATTCTCCAGGTATATCCATTCCCTCCTGTCGCACGCCAAACATTGCTAATGCTGATTTGTAGCCGGTGCGAGATCACTTCAAGCATAATGCTGACGCAAGAGATCTGCTCGCTCAAGTGAAGGTAAGCTATCAATTTTCTGCTCTAGTTCTTTCTTTAAACAGTCCATCTTTTTCTTGCAGTCTTTTAGAGTTACCAGATGAAGTCTGTCGCGTGGAACATATACTCGAAATAAGGTCTCTGACGTGAAGGATAGCCCTTGTGAATGATCGAACGCGGCACGTCTGGCTAAAAACGTTTGCAGCTTTCTCGGTGAGTCGTGCAACGTACACTACTCACAGGAGGAGGACCCATCAGCAGCACGCAAAACGCTTTTGCTTTTGTAAGTTCTTTCATGTCGTGTCTCCTTTTTTTTTATGACAGTTTGGTTGTCTTGGTCGGAGACAAGCAGTGCGAATCTCGTCCATGTCCTCAAAAACGTGAGGATTATGTTGTGGTACAATTAAGAGCATCAAGTTTCTAGCTAAGATCTTGCTGCGCAAGAGACTTAGAGAAAAAGTGGCAAGTTTGTGGGAAGGACAGTTCGTTGGGCTCTCCATTTCACGCAGGGAGAAGATCCTTCTCCACAGAGAGGGATATTCGCCGAATCGCCGTGTTTTGTTTGCTGCCATTTGACTTGGCTTGCAATCTATGGCACATGATGTTTGAACTGGGAAAGATTCAGCAGATATTCTAGCTTTTCCCGCCAAGCACATGGGGCACTACCTGGCACGACGGGGCCACCACACGTGAAGCGACACGTGTCGCGGCCAACCGGTTGCCTCCGTTATGACATGGCTCGTGTGACCGCCATGTCATCCTCCTGGAGTCTTGGTCTCTAAAAACCATACATACATCCACATACAAGGCGCTCTTGCGCAAAGAGATCGCCCCATTTTGCCAATGCATGCTTAGATCTTGGAGCTCCTCAGGGTTTGTGTGATCGATCGGGCGCCTGGAGGAGCATTGGCGCCGCTCGCTGGGGATCGATCATGGCAGCGGCCAAGCAAAGGGGAGCGTCGCCGTTTAGGTATTCGGTGAATGGAAATCTCTTCCAACAGCAGCAGCACCAGGGATCGTTCGGGCAATCGATGAATTCCCCGAGAATGCTGCCGCCGCCGTCGTCCGGACGGAGGAGCAGCGGTGGCGGCTCGGCGGGATTCAGGGCTTTGTCTCAGATGAGCAGCAATGGTGGGAGAGTCTCTTCGCATTTCCTGGCATCGTCTTGCTCGTCGCCGCGCTTCTCCCAGGATGCCGGGACAATGCATTCCGATGAGAGTGTGGATTACGGCAAGGAGAATATCTCTGTGACTGTTCGATTTCGCCCCATGAGGTATTTTGACGCTCTTGTTCTTGTTCTTTTCGTGAGATCTTTGGGTGATCTTTGGGTTTTCAGTGAAAGGGAAATTCATCGCGGGGACGATGCTGCGTGGTACGTGGACGGCGACATTGTCCGGAGCGAGTTCAATCCTTCTGTTGCTTATACATTTGGTTGGAAAGATTCTTCACAACGCTTAATCTCGAAGACTGACTTCTCTCTGTGATTTCCAGACAAAGTCTTCGGGGCCAGCGCGACCACGAGAAATGTTTACGACACCGTAGCACGAAACGTGGTGCGCGGCGCGATGGAAGGGATCAATGGTAAGCCTCACCATCGCAAGTGTTTGAGAATTAAAGGCAATTCATTGTAGGAACTGTTTTCGCTTACGGTGTGACCAGTAGCGGGAAAACACACACAATGCACGTAAGTTATTACATTTTCTTTCTCTTGAAGCTTTTGCAAATGTTAATCCAGGGCGACCAAAATTATCCAGGAGTGATTCCACAAGCTATCAAAGATGTTTTTAGTATCATCCAAGAGGTGAACAGTGAAATGTCTTCATCCGTATATTGCTTACCCTGGCATTTGCCGCAGACCCCAGACCGGGAGTTTCTCTTGCGTGTATCTTACCTTGAAATATACAACGAAGTAAGCTACCTCTGTTCCCTTGTTTATGACTTAACATGTTACAAAATATACCGTCCAGGTCATAAACGATTTGCTCGATCCGGCAGGGCAAAATCTTCGCATTCGGGAGGATGCTCAGGTAGAACTTTAATATGCAAGTACTTACATCTAAGGGTTTCATTTTCAAACATGACAGGGGACTTATGTTGAAGGGGTTAAAGAGGAGGTTGTGCTGTCTCCATCTCATGCTCTTTCACTCATTGCAGCTGGAGAAGGTACATCAATGTAAAAGTTCGCTCCGTTTTCAATTTCTTCACAGAGCATCGGCACGTTGGATCAAACAACTTCAACCTGTTCAGCAGTCGAAGTCATACCATCTTTACCTTGGTAATAATTTGTGAATACTAAACAGTACTGACACTTTGATTTGCAGACAATTGAAAGCAGTTTACGTGCTCAGGGGCCGGACGATGAAGTCACGTTGTCCCAGCTGGTAAGCCATCAAATAATTCTGGTAACTAATTAACACTGTCAACTGGACTTCGTAGAATCTTATCGATCTTGCAGGATCTGAGAGCTCTAAAACTGAAACCACTGGCTTGCGTCGAAAAGAAGGCTCTTACATAAACAAGAGTCTTCTTACCTTGGGAACGGTAAACGACGTGTCCCTTTTTCTCTTTAATTTTCACGATAAGTCATCTTGCAGGTAATCGCGAAATTAAGTGAAGGAAAAGCATCACATATACCATATCGTGATTCCAAACTGACAAGGCTTTTGCAATCTTCGTTAAGTGGCAATGGTCGCATAACAGTACGTACAGCTGCAACAATATGTTTCTTGATATTAACGGAAGTTCATGTTTGACAGCTTATTTGTACAATTACACCTGCTTCCAGCAATATGGAAGAGACACACAACACTCTTAAATTTGCCCAGAGAGCTAAGAGAATCGAGATTTATGCCGCTCCAAACAGGGTATGCAGCATATTATCTCACTCACAGACAGTCACCAGTGTATCAATGTTTGCGTCAGATTATGGATGAAAGATCGCTGATAAAGAAATATCAAAAGGAGATCACTAAATTAAAGCAAGAATTGCTGCTTATTAAGAGAGGCATGACAGAACGACCATATGCTACGACAAACCAAGAAGATCTATTAACGCTTAGACAACAGGTCAGTACAAGCTTGCTGGATTGAAAGAATTTTGACACTTTTCATCGTTTTTTGGATTTAAGCTCGAGGCCGGGCAGCTGAGGATGCAGTCTAGATTGGAAGAAGAGGAACAAGCTAAAGCAGCTTTAATGGGACGAATTCATAAGCTCACAAAGCTTATACTAGTCTCCACGAAGAATAATTTGTCAGGTTCGTTTCCCGACGTTGCTCATAATAGAAGGCATTCCTTTGCGGAGTCGGAAGAGGTAAGGTTTTCTTTTTATGTACAATCGTATTAACAAGCTCATTGTCTAGAGATACGATGAACAGTCGGATCTAGATACTTCTTCATTTCCACCGGATCGGTGTACTGATTCCAGCAGTATTGACTTAGGAAACGGGCAGGAGCACGTAAGTCACTGTTGATGCAAATCTTTTGACTATAACATCTGCTTGCAGGACATAGCAGATCAAATCGATCTTACACGAGAGCAAGTCAAGATGCTTGCTGGAGAAATTGCATTACGCTCTAGTTCGCTAAAGCGACTAACCGAACAAGCAGCAAACCATCCAGACGATGTTGAAATACAGGTATGGGCCCGTTCATCTGAAAGAGTCTTAAGTGCTTCAATAAGTTTCAGGTACAAATTGGCAAGCTTAGGGACGACATTGAAGATAAGAAAAGTCAAATGCAACTTTTAGAGCAAAGAATAACAGAGCTTGGAGAAAGATCCTCCTACCCAGAAATGTCCCAGGTGACTCGTTGTTCTACCGTCAATTTTGGATTTAAGTTTTTTGTATCTAGGCGATTGAAAAACTCACGAGTCAGCTAAATGAGAAGGCCTTCGAGCTTGAGGTTGGATTTGAAGTATTTGGCAACACAAAGTAAACTATTTTCGTGTGCTTTTTCAGATCAGAACAGCAGACAACCGTGTTCTTGAGGAACAGTTGCAATCAAAGGTAACATTTTGGTTTTTGGTTCTTCAACTAGCTATTAAAGCTTTTATCAGGTGGCTGAAATTAAGGATTTGCAAGAAAAAAATGGTCGCCTTCAACAACAACTTCAAGAAGCTCTGGAGAAGGCTAGCCATCAAAAAATAGTTCTTGGACCCCAAACGACGAACTGCTTGATTGAGGCAAACGACGCCGGGAGCTGGCTACATCCCGAAGAGCGACTATGTGCTGAAAAAGCCATCAAAACGGTCGTTTCACATCAAGAGAATTATCCTAAAAAGAAAGAAACAGAAGATGTGATTCTGAAGGTTTGGTTGCCGGTTTCGACGTTGTCTACTGACTGATTCATTTGTTTGTCTTTGAAGGCTGAAATCGAGGTACTGAGCCAGGAAAGGAGTCGTTTGTCAGAAGAAAACAACTGCTTACAAATGAAGAATGTCAAACTGGAAGAGGAAGCTTGTTATGCCAAGGACCTGGCAGCTGCAGCTGCTACTGAAATTAAAGACTTAACCGAACAAATCAAGAAGTTGGTGTTTCAAAATACGAGACTTTCAAATGAAGCTTTGAGTATCACATGTCAAGGTAAAACTGGTAGAATTTCTGTTTCTAGTGTTGATCGGAGGCTAATGATACCATATGCAGTCCAAGCTCTCAAGGAGGAAGTGCGATCTAAGAGAGAGAAGCAAGCATATCTAGAGCAAACAGTTTCAGAGAAGCAAGCCCTTGAGAAGGAATTAAAGAGAAAGCTTGACGAATCAAAGCAGCGGGAAGCCGACTTGGAAAACGATTTGGCGAGCATGTGGGTTCTGTTAGCAAAAATGAAAACGAACGACCCTCCGACCAGTGGACCTGTTCAAGATGTGGTCGAGATCACAGAATGTAGGCCAGAACGTAACGTCTCAACCGCCGTTGCTCCTATATCACCACAAAGTGTAGAATCGGCAGCGAACATACAGAAAATCAAGGAACAACATCAAGAGCTGGAGAGGCTTAGAACAAGCGGCTCAGAGGACAAAGAAACTGATGACTTGAAGGCGCTCGTTGCTCAGCTCAAGGTTAGTCAGCTCAGATTGGAAGGCTCACTTCTGATTGTTTGGCTGTGAATTCTACTAGGGAGAGTCCGTAGAGGAGCTGAACGCCAGTGAACTGGAGGACCTACAGGCCATCCATATCGAAGCTCTAACCAAGCTAAGCAACGCCAAGGTACAAGCGGATACTTCTTTCCAAAACGGTCGTGAGAACTACAGCTCGTCGTTGTTTGTCTCCAGGCCAGGATCCAAGAGCGAAGGAAACTCGAGCGACTCCAACGGCCAACCGCCGATGCCCCCACTCTCAACTTGCAGCTCTACGACGAAGACAAGCACGCGCACGTTTGCAAAGTTTGCTTCGAAGCCGCCACGGCCGCTGTTCTTCTACCCTGTCGCCATTTTTGCTGTAAGTTCTCCAATGGTTTCCGCGCTCGCCTTTCATTCTAACTTCTCTCTTGCAGTGTGTCAACCGTGCGCAGTCGCGTGCACGGAATGCCCGCTTTGCAGGAGCGGCATTAGCGACCGAATCGTCACATTTGCATCGTAAGGTTCGTTTCCAGTTTAAAGTACATAGACGTTTCGCTGCTACATAACTCCCGAAATTCGAGCTCCTCCAACCATCGATCGAGCGAGCTCGAAGATTTTTACCTGGAAGCTGTTAAGTAATGTTCGCTACTTCCAGAAAAAAAAAACGAAAAAAATGAGAATCCAACGCCGCGAAGATTTCCTTCGACTGATTTTGCTCAGCGCCGGTCAATGATACAAGATGACGCCGGTCAAAAGATACTTTGCTTAACAGTAGTACTAAAATAAGCTTAATCGAAGAGGCCAAAGTGCGATTAACGGAAAAATGGACCGTTGTTCGTACGACCACACCTCCGTATTGCGGTTCCGTTTGGCAAACGGTTAGTTATCTCTAGCTAACAGTGGCGGTCGATTCGCACCTGGGGGGTCTTTGTGGTTAGCCCAGGGGACTCTGACTGAAAAGCGCTAACAGGCTTGTTAGTTATAGCCGGCAGTCTCTGGAAGGCACAACAGTTCGCAAACGAAGAGGAAAAAAATTGGACTTTCTCCCCTTTGTGGAGAAAAAGGGGGAGAAAATATTTCGCGATGATCCAATCGATCGTTTTCTCCTTCGATTCTATCCGCGCAGCGGATGCTTCGTGCCGCGTCTTCGTGGAGTAAGAAGAGGAGACGACGGCAACGAAGGAGGAGAGATTTTTAGAATCTTCTTCTACTTCTTCTTCTTCTTCTCCCTTCTTCTGGTCGATCGCCGCCGATTCCCAGCATTTTCCATGGATTGATCGGGTGATTGATGAGCGGCGAGCGATCGGCATGGAGTCTGTGGCGAATCATGGCCCCAAAGTGGTGATCTCCAATCCGGGGGATTGGGAGGCGCTCTACAGGCCTCTGCCGTTCCTCTTCTTTGGATTGCTGCTCATCTGGACGACCCTGGTGGGAATCTGGACGCTCAATACATGGAGGAAGCGGCAATGGCAGGTAACGATTTCTCTTTGCATGCATTGTCAATGCAGAGAATAGTTTAGGGTTCTTCATTCATCATGGAAATATTTCTTCCTCCTCACTCCCGGGATTGTGATCGCAGACGAGCAATCTCCAATGGATCCTCACTGCCGTGCCTGTGCTCAAAGCTCTGGTCCTGGCGCTCTCGTTCGCGTTCTGGTGAGTCTCTCTAGCTCGCGATTTCTAGCTCGGTGATTGATTTTGGGCGTGCTTTGATTGATTGCCAGGTATTCGTGCCTCCACCTGGGGACGTGCTCCTTCTGGGTCGCGTTTGGCGTCTTTGTGACGCGCATTTTTTTCGAGACGGCGTGCTTCATCTCGTTCCTCCTCATCTCGCACGGCTACTGCATCATGCACGAGCAGCTCTCCATCTCGGAGAGGAGAAGCATTGCTGGGCTCGGCTCGCTGCTCTACCTCACGCTCACCGGATACAAGGCGGCTGTGCCACAGTTCGCGGTAAGCCCACTTTCTCCACTTCATTGGGACCTTTTGCTTGTTCTTCGTTTTGCTAGAGAATTGGTCCGTCTTGTATCCTGTGTCCTTTTCGATAGTGGATGAGTGGGCAGTGCTTTTGTGGAACTTTCTCTTGGATAGCCGTGCTTTTGTGGAAGTTCTTCTTGCATAGCTGACAATGATGTTTTTCGTTCTTGAGCTAAGTGTGAATTGAGAATGACTGGAGTTTTTCCTTTCAAGTCGCTTCTGTGAGCTCGTTCATACACTTGACACTTCTTTGTTTTCTTTTTCTTTTGCTTTGCAGATATTAGTGGTGCTGATCTACTTGGTGCTCCTTTACGTCATATTTCTCCATGTGTCGAGGAATCTGGCATTGCTAAGGGAGCAGCTCCAACTTATTCAGAACGAAGGCGTTCATACGATGCACACGGCTCTGTACACCAAGTACACTATGTTCAAGTACGAGGTGCACATCATCTGTAGCGTGTTTTTCTTTTGTTTCCTTTTTTTCTTTGATGGTTGTTTCTCCTACTTTATGATTGTGTGTTCATAGTTTCTGTGTTTTTCTTACAGGAAGTTCCAAGCTGCGATGCTGACAATGGTCGTTGCGGAAGTGTTGGTGAGTTCTTGCTTTGTTTGCATCCAAGTATCCGACTGAAAGTTTGAAGTCCACTAGATGCATGCCAAGGCGGATGGGGTTGCGAATGAATACTGGATGAGACTTCTTGTTCGGGAGTGGACGGAAATTGGTATCTTTTCTTATATCGGGTAAGTGCTATTCCAAGCTCTGGACTTCCTAGGCGCTCACTCCCGGGCATGCAGGTGGACTTTTAGAGCTAGAGAAACAACACCCTTTTTTACTGTGATTCCCACGTTGCACTCGGGGAGAGAGTCTATGCTACCTCCTATTTACAGCATCGTAAGTATTCAGAGAGCCTGGCTCGATTTTTCCATGCTGTTTTTTAACTTGTTACTACTACTTTCCAGGAGATGAACGAAAAGGACTTCAACACGCTGAGTTTCAAAGAGTGGCACATTGGAGTGGTACCGTTTCTTCACCACTGCTACCGTTTTATCACAATGCTTGACCCTTTGCTTGTTTCTTTCAGCCAATGTCTTTGGCTAAATGCGGTGGCAACCAGAAGCCGATGCTCGTGATTGTCCAAAATCCGAGCGTCTCGGAGGCTCTTGAGAACCCAAATCCAGGAGCAGCCACGGCAGCCACAGCAGCGGCGGCATTGACGAGCCCCCGAAGCTCCTCGATGGATTTTTGTAGCTGTGCTACTGGCGCCCCTTCCTCCGGCCACGACCAGGAAGAAGAACTATTGTCACAAGAGTCGCAAGAGTCGATCTCTACCGAGAAGCACGCATTGGTAGCGGCAGCATCGACAGTAGCACTGGCAGCCGTGGATGGCAATAGCCACCACCACCACCACCATTTCCTACATAAGTTTCACGGTGGAGTCCATCACCACCACCACCACCACCACCATCACGAAACTGAGGTTTCCTCGTCGATGATGATCTGTGATCACAGGACATACAGCAGGGGGATGAGAAACGCGGGCAGCAGCGCCGGTTTTACCAATCTCAGGTTCACTTAAATTTTAAACATGCAGAATATCCCATTATCAAATGAATATTCTTTTGAAAATGGTGGAATATTATAGATTATTCCAATTTTGTTTGACGTGACGCACTGCTCTGGGCCGGAGCACGTCCTCGACCAGCTCCTCCATCGTCGCCCTCTCATCTGTACTCCTTCATGTAGATCGTAATCTATTCGTAATCCATGAGACTTCCCCATACTCTTCTCACACTGAATATATAAGGGTTAACAGATGAAAGCCTTTGCATCTGTGTTCATGTAGATCGTAATCCATGAGACTTCCCGCACTTAACTTCTCATCCAGGAAAAAGTTTGCAGATAAAATGATTGGTCAAAGGACGTGATTCCGTTTGTACTCCTCGAGGCTGGGACATTCCATTCTGCCTCACGTAAAAACGCATGGCAAAGTCTTTCCCACTGATAAAAGCGATTAGAAAAGTTGTGTTCTAGGTACTTCCTTGAGCTCGTAAGCTAGCCGTCATAACTCTGCCTTGTACCTCGGAAGCACACTGAACTGTCGTCTTAAACAATCCTCGGAAAATATTGCTAGCGTTTTCGTTCAGCTCAAGGCGGACGGATCCCATCTGTGTGATTGAACACAAGACACATATTAATACTCAAAAGTCTTCTAAAGATGTGTTACTAATACATTTTCCCGGCAATGCAAAAGTTTCTCAAATTGTCGAGAGAATGGTGCATGCCCATAAAGTCCTCAATGACAGTTGTACAAACATTCATCTGTGCCCAGACAATGAGAGCCATCGAGAGTTCCTGCTGGAACATCGTTGCGGCAGCAGTAAAAAGGCAGATCACGTCTTTCTGTCGGGCATAACCCAGACGTCCAAAGCCGCACTCTTCGTTCCACCTGCGGCTCAAGAGCTGCATATAATTAAGCCGGGGGAAAAACATCGAACACAGATACCTCATAACGTGCTGCAAATCCTTCTGATATATCTTCTGGCAAGCATTGAAGTCGGACTTTGCGAAGGCCAGTATCGAAGCTCGTTCACTGGAAATTTTCGATTAGGAACTTACTGATTTACAGGAAGTTATCGCATATGTACCTCATGCTTATGGAATCCATACTTGTCGTAAATCTAGTCATACCCTCGATGTGCTGGATCTGATGCATTATACTATACCATGGAATCATCGTCTGTAAAGAAAACGTTTGCTGTTGAAGGCAAACCTCTTCGTTCGCAACTAGCATTTTTCTGCTCTCACTAGGAAAGAAAACATGTGATGGCAGAGACAGATCCTTCAAACCGTGTGCCTCGCTTAATTTTCGCTGATGTAGCACGTCTACCACACGAAATCCGTCACTGTGATATAAAAATCTTCACTTCACTCTACCTGGGGAAACTTAGTAGCCATGACGACGAAGAATCCGGAACAAAAGAGCAGCGTCTTCAAAGCTTTCTAGATGTTTTTGACGTCCGGTACCTGCGGCATTTCCTTTCCAACATCTATTGACAACTTTTCTAGTGACAAGTAGTTTACCTGAAAGCTTGAATCAACGTCTGCTCTATCCCTTTCCTAAAGAATCTTTCAATTCCCAGATGCTCAAGCCAGTCTACAAGTCGCAGCAGCTGACTTAAGTGGCAGAAGTTTCAAGTCTTGTTTGGCTTGATCAATGGGCCCTCAACAGCACCTTTTAGAAAACGAAGGCACTCGTTGTCTCCAGTGTGCATATGGGCGCATGCCGTCAGCGTAACAGAGAATAAAGATCCACCCTGAGAAGATGTTGCCAATTCGGACGGTCATGAAACGCTTCAAATATATGGACGAAAGAAGTCAGATACTGCTCCAACTCAGCATTTGATACCCTGATTATCAGGACAAAAGCTACAGTTAGTGTTGTTAATTCATGACCCTGTTCACAAATACGTTGACTAAAAGATTCATCATAATTTGCCCTCCCATAGAAGATGTTCCATGTCCTTTGTAAGTTATTGTGGACTAACGGCCGTTGAGACTTTATAAAGCTTAGACCTGCAGGAAGAACTCTGTATCTCACAGGTGCCAGAGAGCTTACCTCTTTGGATGCTACGCTCCCCTCGGTTCCATGTTTTCAGAGCAGTGACACACGACAGTGTGCTGCAAATCCGCTAAGCATCTTCTTCTCCTTGATCCCAGGACCCATCCTCGCACTGGTTGCGAACAATCCATTCCAAGCTCCGAAGAAACTGGGGCCCAAGTTCTGTGAGCATGTGGTATTCGTGCGATCCATCCCATGTCGTAAGCTGAGAAGCTGGAAGCATCGTCCACGCCTGCAAACAGCTTCTTGATCGTGCTGATGCTACTCTGCAATCAAAGAAGAAACTCTACCAGAACAGAAGAAGTAAAACCTTTGCACCTCTTGCTTGATTGAATGCTGAGAGTTAACTCGAGTTCTCAGCACAAGACCTGAAACAAAAACAAGTTTGAGATGACAAAAGCCGTCTTCAAAGCTTTCTAGATGTTTTTGACTTTCACTACCTGCGGCATTTCCTCTCCAACATCTGTGGATAAGTCATTGAACTTTCCGAGTGACAAAGAAGTTTACCTGAAAGCTTTAACCACCATTTGCTTGATCTCTTTCTCGAAGAACCTTTCCATTCCCAGATGCTCAAGCCAGTCTACAAGTTGCAGCAGCTGACTTAAGTGGCGATTTGGAAAGTTTCAGTTCTCGTTTGCCTTGGTCAATAGGCCCTCAAGAACACTGTTTAGGAAACGAAGGCAATTTCTGTCTCTGGTGTGCATGTACGCGCATGCCATCAGCGTGACAGAGAATAAAGATCTGCGGCTACTTTGATATTTGAGAAGTTGCTGCCACTTTGGACGGTCATGAAACGCTTCAAGTACATGAACGAAAGACGTCGGATACTGCTCCAACTCGTCATTTGATACGCTGGTTATTAGGACAAAGCTGTAAATAAGAACCTCAAGAGCTTTGAAGTTATACCTCAGAAGAAATTCCTGACTATTTACAAATATGTTCAACGAAAGATCTCTATAATTCAGCTCTAAGTCCATTGTGGACTAGTGATCTTGATCCATTCCAAGCTCACTAGGGCCCAAGTTCTAAGTTATGGTATAAGTGTTAAAATCTTAAATCAATTGGTTAAAGAGTTATAAGGTTTTTCCTTTATTTTATTATCCTGACCTATTGCCTAATAATCATCCCCTTGTTAGGGAATGATAATCCACGATTATACTCATGCCTCATGGACTTTCTATTAAAGTCTACCAAACTTTAGTCTAGATCCACCATGTTAAATATTCCTTCAAAATATTTTTGCCCCACTCATCAGCCACAAGAATTGAACTTAGCTCCAATACTAATGTTAGGATCCCGATCAATTAATTACAAGGCCCTTTCTTTATCCTATTATCTTGATATAATGCCTAACAATGAAGTATTCATGTGATCCATCCCATGTTGTAAGCTGAAAAGCTGTAAGCATTGTCCACGCCTGCAAACAGCTTTGATCGTGTTGATGCTACTTATACACCATTGCATGATATTGCCAAATAACACCAAAAATGAATTTGACGATGAGGCTTTTCAACATAGCATGATTATTCAGATATCTATGGTAATCATGTTCAAAAGATTACAGAACTTGTCATGTGCCACCTATTTGCCACTATCTGTCAATGCCGTCTCAACTCAATATAACCTTAATATTTATACATTTCAAACATATGAATGTTGATTCAAACATTTATATATATAAAGCAATAACGAGAAGAGGTCTTCAGTCGTCCAATCGCAAGCTTGGGGAGGCTTGGTATCTATGGTTGGGGAAACATCATGTTGATATTTGGATGGCCAATCAAGAATGGGCATGCTTCCTAGCCAGGTCACTCAGAAAGAAAGTGGTGTATTTCAAGCTGATGGCATAATGTGCATAATCTCATGTTGGAGACAAGCAGCATGTTGGTTTCTTGTTATGCATGCTGGTTGATAGTGCTCATCAAGATCCTATTGCCTGCTTGAAGATCACGCTAATTGTGGATGTTCACCAGGATCCAAGTCACAAGTGACTTGACCTGGAAGCCAAGTGCCTCATGTGCCTCAACAGCACAAGCACATTTGTACTCCAATTAGGCCACCCTCTCATTGAGCGTTGCATTCTCGGCCCGTACTAGTGCCAGCTGCCTCTGTAGCTTCTGGATGTGTGTGCCTACCCCTCCACAAAAGCACCTTGGAAGGAGCTTGGTTTAATTATACTTATCACTAATACAAATCTTGTCTAAATTGGAAAGGTCCGAAAGTATAAAGACGAAAGAAAGTTGCTAGAGCACATTATTTTATTTCGCAAGAACATCTCATATATAAGACATGAATCCCAGAAATAAGAGATAGACCATATTTAAGAATGCATTAAACAACATGTGTTGTAGCTTATAAGCTTTAATTAGAAGAGAAATGGTGTTGGATCCAAAAGCCCTAACCCTAAATTCTCAACGTACCCTTGGATTCAGCCAAGAATCAGGATTGCATAAATCCCTTATTCTTCTTGCCCATGGTCTCTTCACTCAAACAACGCAGAAAATAATTTGATGGGTCACAACCATACCACAGTTTGATTCTTGGAAAAAAGGACCTACCTCCAGATTGTAATGATATGATGACACGCCATGATCTGCCCAGGTGGAGAGAAATTTTCTGTTCATAACACAATTCCTCTTGGTGTAGTTTGGCTGCCAAGAGAAGAGAATTTTAAACCTAAATTCAGACTGGATTCAGCTTGGGCATCTTACCATGATATTGGGCCCGGGGGGGGGGGGGGGCGATGATCAATCAACTTAATAGGCAATGGCTCAGCAATCAGACTGTAAGGAGCAAATCAAATTCTATGTGATAATTTTTAAGTGGGAGTATATGTTCTTTAAAATATATATATTGCCCTATTCTACATATTAGAGCAAGATGAGCTCCTGGTCGCACCTCTCTCATCACATCCAAAAGGAAGATGGAGAGCCACTGCAAACCTGGAGAATTACAAATTGGGAGCAACAGGGCAACATGCACTTTCTTACACTTTTAACTATAAGCTCAAGTGCAAATGAGAATGGGTATATATTTGTTGCTAGTCATTTATACAAACAAGAATGGGGTGGAACACTACTTGGTTGATCATTTATATAGAGGGGAGGGGAATATTTTGGGACTTAGACACCTTGCTCTTCTAGTACTGCAACATATCATGCAAAAATAAGCTTTTGAATTTAATTTTTTCGTAAAGTCGTATTATTCAAACCTAAAATGTTTTAACTCCAACCATTTAAAAAAAGTTATAGCCATTTTCTCTCTATATTTTAACACTTAAAACCTTAAGACATTTTTTTAATTACTTACACTTATAGTATTTGTTTTCTTCTCTTTTCCTTCTCTACTGCTTTGAGTGTCTACTTCATTTTCCCTATAGTCCTAAACTCAGAAAAGATATGCAAGAAGTAGTAGAAATAGTGTCAAGAACTTACACTCTTAGGAGGATGACCAGCATTGAGGAGGAGACCAGAAAAACCATGGGTGTGTCATGTCCTTCACTGCAGAAAAAGGTTTTGGAATTCGAGGTGGTGGTGAAATATCAAGAGTGTCTAAATGGCAACACCTTGGAGCTGGAGGAATCACAAAGAACTTCATGCTGGAAGTCGAAATGTGTTGAGCTTGGTGTGGGATGTGCAGGTGGTAGTGTCTCTTGAATGGGAATCAACTGCTACTTCGTCTATAAAGGCATACCTCTGACTCCTTGAAAAGCATCACACAATCTGAAAACTCCAAAATCTCATTGCTACAGTGCAATCCAAAGGATTGACAACTGCAAAAACTGGCAAATTCACCTGTTTTGCAATTATCTCGTACTTCTGAAAGAACTTGAGCCTGCTAAAAGTCCACTACCTAAACCACGTCTTCTTCATTGCCATCCTCAGCAATCATCCTCAACAATCTTCAAACTGATATCTGCTGTGCGGGCAATTGCCAATTGAAGGGAAACTTGTGTCTTATAACCACCCAGCTGCTCTGATTCCTGTGGCATGGCTACCAAAGGCTCCTCACAACCTGTAGCTGCCACTGTTTTCTCGTCCTCGCCCTCAAGACTGGAAATCTCGTCGCTGAAAACGTTACCAGATTTGCCTGGGCCTGGAAAAATGACATCCTCGAGCATTTGTGCTCAAATAGGGGTTGAGCATGCTCCACAACCTATGGGCCTCCTACTAGCAACTCCTCATCGCCTTGAAGGCTGAAAACTTCTTTGCTGTAAAAGGTGGTAGATTTACCTGGGGTTTGTGTCCTCCACCAAAGCCTGGGCATGCTCCACGACCTGTGAACCTGCTGCTGGTGAGTCCAGGTTCACACACTCAAGGGCTTTCAATGATTCTTCTTGGTCATCATTTTGATCGCAACCTGCTCCATTTCACGAAGGTAGTAGGGCACTCGTTGCAGACCCTGGCTCCCCCTCAGGAGTGTTACTTGATCCCGCTCCTGCCAGGGGAGAGAGGTCTTCCGGCAGAGGTGTGCATATCTCAGTACACTCCTCTGCCAGGCAAGAAATCCTGAATGTACAGGTTCATTGCCTAAAAGTTGTCTTGGCTAGGGAAACATAGAGTGATCACTTTTGTATAGCATTCCTCAATTTGACTGCTGGTGATTTATCTCGATGAATTGCCAAACAGCACCAGTGATGAGGCTTTTCATGAAACATAGTATGTCTTCAGATATCTTCTGCAAAGTGAAAAAAGTAGATATCTACCTGTATTACTTCAAGTGAAAACTCGTACATACGTATGAGATAGCTGGTATAGACCACATCTCAGTGATTACACTGTTGTTGGCCCTATCTCCATCGCCCTTCTCTGCCTCATTCTCGGCCGCCGTTCGCCAAAATCTCCTTCAATCTCACTGAATGGCACGCCATTCTTGGTGCCTAAGCGAGCGCTGGATAAGCTGGAAAGGTTGGGAAAAGCAGCCATAGCATTTGCCCAAATCGGGATTTTTATCTCGTCGATAATGTGAAGATTCTTTTGAAACTGGGCCGGAATATTATATAGATTATTCCAGTTTCGCGTGAAGAACTTGCTTGATGTGGTCTCGTAGTTCAGCGTCCGTGCTGTATCCATCGCCCTTACGGTAGACAAAGTTGAGAATTCTCATCATGTTCTCAAACACGCGCTTGCATCTCTTAGGCACTGCTCTGGGCCGGAGCACGTCCTCGACCAGCTCCTCTATCGTTGCATTTAGAATCTTTCTTATCTCCACCACCGCGTCCTCCACGCTCGTTCCCGGGTGCTCCTTCATGTAGATCGTGATCCATGAGAACTCCCCCGCGCTGCTCTCACGCTGGAATGGTGAAAGATCTTGCTCGGGTAAACATCCAAAACTGAGAAAGATAAAGCTTACGTCAAAGCCTTGGATGTCGTTGAGCAATCTCCCAATTGTGAAGACCCTCCGGCACATGTTGATACAGTCCGGATGGTCGAGAACCACCGACTCAATTTTCTCGTCCAGAAAAAGGAGTGTAGATAAGACGATCGGTTCCAGCGCAAACGACGTGATTCCGTTTTCTACGTACTCTTCAAGGCTGGGACAGTGATTCGTGAGCCTCCATTCTGCCTCTCGAAAAAACGCATCGCAAAGTCTTTCCCACTGATAAAACCAATTAGAAAGCTCTCTTGTACATAGAGGTTCCAAGAGGTTCTTACTTGAGCTCGGAAGCTCGCCGTCATATCTCTGCCTTGTACCGCGGAAGCACACTGGGCTGTCCATGTAACCGTCTTAAACAATCCTCGAAAAAGAATGCTAGCGTCGTCGTTCAGCTCCGAGGCAGACGGATCCCATCTGTGAGATAAACACAAGACACAAAAACAATGCATAAATTACTGAAGTCTACTAGTACCTTCTGATGGCAGTGCAAAAGTTTCTCAAATTGTCGAGAGAATCGTGCGTGTCCATGAAGTCGTCAATGACTGTTGTAAGAACACTCATCTGTGCCCAGACAATGCGAGCCATAGAGAGTTCCGGCTGGAACATGGTTGCAGCAGCAGTAAAAACGCAGAACACGTCTTTCTGCCGGGCATAACCCAGACGTCCAAAGCCGCACTCTTCGTTCCACCTGCGGTTCAAGGGCTGTGCAATAAGCAAGAGGCAAAACACCGAACACGGCTACCTCATAACATGCTGCAAATCCTTCTGGTAGATCTTCTGGCAAGCATTGAAGTCGGACTTTGCGAAGGCCAGTATCGAAGATCGTTCACTGACAAATCTCGAAGAAGAACTAATAAAGATTTACTGCAAGCTATTGCATACCTTGTGCTTATGAAATCCATACTTGCCGTAAATTTAGTCATGTATTCAATGTGTTGGATCCGATGCATTATATTATACCATGGAAACGTCGTCTGTAGAGGAAACATTAGCAAAAGATCGGACTGTTAAGTGAAGGCAAACTTCTTCATTCGCGACATCAATGATTGGAGTCGAGTCCAGCATTTTTCTGCTTTCAGTAGGAAAGAGAAAATGTGATGCCAAAGACAGCTCCTTTACATCGAGTGTCTCGCAAAATGTTCGCTGATGTACCACGTCTATAACATGAATAGCCTTGGATAGCCTGTCACTAGGATAAAAAATGTTGTACCTGGGGAGACTTCATAGCCATGACGACGAAGAATCCGGAACAAAAGAGCAGAGTCTTTAAAGCTTTCTAGATGTTTTTGACTTCCGCTACCTGCGGCATTTCCTCTCCAACATCTGTGACAAGTTACTAAACCTTCCGAGTAGTAAGAAGTTTACCTGAAAGCTTGAATCAACGTTTGCTCGATTTCTTTCTCAAAGAACCTTTCGATTCCCAGATGCTCAAGCCACTCTGCAAGCCGCAAAAGCTGACTTAAGCCGCGAAAGTGTCGGTTCTTGTTTGGCTTGGTCAATGGGCCTTCAAGGACCCCGTTTAGAAAACGAAGGCACTTTTTGTCTCCGGTGTGCATGTACGCGCATGCCGTCAGCGTGACAGAGAACAAAGATCCGCCGCTACTTTGATATCTGAGAAGATGTTGCCAATTCGCACGTTCATGAAACGCTTCAAGTATATGGACGAAAGAAGTCGGATACTGATCCAACGCGTCATTTGATACGCTGATTATCAGGACAAAAGCTACAGTTACTGTTTAAGAACCTCAAGGGCTTTGGAGTTACCTCTGAAGGAATTCCTGACCCTGTTCACAAATACGTTGAACAAAAGATTCGTCATAATTCAGCTCCAAATCCAGTGATTTGCCCTCTTGTAATAGTCTATGCAAGATGGCTTCCATGTCTCTTGTAAGTTTATCGTGGACCAATGGCCGCTGGGATTTCAAAAAGCTTAGACCTGCACGAATACGCTGTTTATAGATGCTAGAGAGGAAAGAGCTTACCTCTTTGGATGCTACACTCCCTTCGGTTCCATGTTTTCAGAGCAATGACACACGACAGTGTGCTGCAAACCCGCTGAGCATCTTCTTCTCCTTGATCCCAGGACCCATCATCGCACTGGTTGTGAACGATCCATTCCAAGCTCTGAGGAAACTGGGGTCCAAGTTCTGGGTTATGAGCATGAGGTATTCGTGCGATCCATCCCATGTCGTAAGCTGAGAAGCCGCAAGCATCGTCCACGCCGGCAAACAGCTTCTTGATAGTGCTGATGCTACTCTGCAATCAAAGAAGAAACTCTTGCAGATGAGAAAAACCAGAGCTTGGCACCTCTTTGGTTGACGGATGGGACTGAACGCTGAGAGTGCCAGGAACTTTTACTCCAGCTCTCAGCACAAGACCTGAAACAAAAACAAGTTAAATGAAGGCGATAAAAGCCTCTACAAGAGCGCTACCTGCTGAGAACTGGGTGAAAGAACCCATATTGAGAGGCTTGAAGAATTTACTGGAGGGAATGTTGTTTGGAGCGAAAAGGCCGCTAGAAATTTGTGTAGCAAAACTCATCTTTGCCGATATCCAATTAGCACTCTTCAAGTTATATGCCACTTTGTTCCTTGGAGAGAGGGTATTATACATAGACTAGAAATTGCCTAGCAGGAGCTGGCCGGTTGGCAAGGTCACTATTGCTAGAAAATATACTCAATCAGATCCCCAGGCTCTCGTACAAAAAGCTAGTGTATGACAGCAATTGGAACTGATTTGTTAAAAATTGACCTGGGTCAAAAAAGCTAAAAAACATAGTCACTCGATAACAATGCCTCGTTTTTTATGGCAGTCAAGGTGCAAAGGAAGAACACAAAGGTAGCACTAATCAACTTGGAGTGGGAGAAGTGTTAGTGGATGTGATAGAAAAGAAAAATGCTTACATGTAATATTTCTCTGTACAGTGTTTATTGTGAAAATAACGTCACCAAGGCCAGCTTCTACCTTGTGTTTTATGCTTTGATAAGGCTAGATGGAGATGTGGTTCTAGATAGAGCCACATATAACTGACCATGTGTAAAAGCTGAATGTGGCAAGTATAGTCTGACATAGTCAAATGTTTATCCTGGTAAGGCAATAACCTAAAGGGATGGGAAATTGTCTTCTTAACATTCTGAATGGCAGCATCAGAGGATGACAATGTATTTGAGGGATAAGCTCTTGACCCTTTGAATTGTCCAGTGATTATCTCACTGTCTAAAATTACAGTGGATGCTCTTTTAAGCAAGAGGCATGTACCATTGCAAAGCAAAAGGATGAATCTAGCACCTTCCTTAAGAATTAATTTGTGTGGAGCGAGTCCAGAGGGTGTAATAGAATTTAAAAATTCTGGAAAATCTTATAGATTTTCTATTTCTATGTCAACATAGTCAATATGTCTGAAAGTGTATGTATAACCTTTTAATAAAGAGATGATAAAATTGCTGAATCATCATTGAGTGGGGTAAGAATAACTTTGCGCTTGAAATGTCATTAGGATTTTGAAAGATAAAATCTATAAGAGAAGCTTTAACTAAAGATAATTTAATTGAATCAACAGGAAGTGGTGGGTGTGAAAAATAATTATTTCCATCTCCACCTTGTAATAACCACTCACCCCATGAAGAGTCATATGATGTAAGTTTCATATTCTTTTTAATTGATGGTTTTGTGAATAATGGCCACAATCTGCATTTTGATAGAATGAGAAACTATTAGTGCTCAAGGGACAATAGGTAAAATTTGTCAAAAGTCACCACTTGTAATAACAATAATTCCACCAAAAGTATTGTTTTATTTGATTTCTTTTAAACAACATTCAACATTAGTAAAAACATGTATATCAACAATACTTATTTCATCCAAAATAATTAAGTTAGTTTCTTTAAGTTTTCTTCCAACTCCACTATTAAGTGTTATAGATGATGTTGATACTTCATTAATTGGAATAAGAAGTTTAAAAGCAGCATGTGAGGCTTGGCCATTATGCAATAAAATACTTTCAATACCTATTTAAATCCAATGGTATACCCTTTAATATTTCTTTATGGTGACCATGCATGGCACTTTCAATGATAAGTTCACAACACTATATCACTTTACTTCAATATTATGCATATTTTCTCTCTAAAATAGATTCTTGACACATTGGTTATGATCAAATTTATATGCTAGCAAGCTCACTTAACAATACATTATTGATGCGTTTGTTAAAGTTGAAGGGAATAAATTAGAATATTGTCAACACATAAAAAACAACTTAGAGTCAAATTTTGTAGGCTTGATGGATTATATTGCTAATCTGGCTTTTGATCAAAATGCACATCCTGGAAAATTAGTTATATTTTCCTCCAGTTTTAATGCCATGTAACAAAATTATCAAGATGCCATGACAATAGTTATTCATTATTCAAAATTAGGATATTTTTTTTACTTTCATATACAATCCTAAATGTCTAAATATACTGATACCTTGGGATGAATAATAAATTATTTTGAATACTTGATATGTTTCAGCCCCTAAATCTATTTGGTAGTTGTTTAAATTCAAATTGCATGGTTGTTTGTAAGCTATGATATGTCTACTTGTTCACCTACTAAATTTTAAAATGTACTCATATATTATTCTGTGCTTCAATTCCCTTGCTCCTTGGTTGTATGTTTAGCTTTGTTTCTTTGTTCAATAGCCCAAGGCTCTGAAATTTAAATTCCACTCCATTGCCCTTGGCCAATATGTCCAAGGGTTGATTCCACTCTGTAGTTATCCCATGGTGGTAAATTACCATAAAGTAAAGTGTGAAAATTATATGCACTATAATGATTTTTGGCTTTGTTTTGAGTGTTGGTCTTGGTGTTGAGATGTTAAATATGCTAGGACTATTCTTATATCACTTAATACTCATGTTTTTTCACTCCTTAGGTTATACGCTTATGAGTTATTGAGTGCTTCAATTCCTATTTGGTTGTATATTTGGTTTTATTCTTTTGTTTAGTGGCTTAAGGCTTTGAAACTTAGATGCCCTTGGCCCACATGTCTAAGGGTTTGGTTATGCTCTGTCATTATTTTATGGTAAATCATATAGGGTAAAGTGTGAAAATTATATATATTATAGTGATTCTTGGCTATTAAACTCTATTAAACTGAATTGTCTAAAAGAACTTCAACTTCATGAGCAAATGAAGGCATATTAGACTTTGTTTTGCAAAGTTGCTAAATGTTTTGTTAATTACAATGTTGGATAGAAGTGTTAAAACTAATCATAAAAGGAAAATCACTACACACACACGTACACACATTTATGGTGGAACCTTTGATATCTTGGTCTAATGTGGATTTTGAAAGTACTTGCCATCCCTTGTAAACTCTTTAAGCTTTTATCTTTGCCATCTAGTGAGTTATGTTTTGAGTCAAGATGGTTTTCACTTCAAGAAATTATTGTTATCACATAGCATGCCTATTGCTCGGCTTAGTGCACTCAGCTGACTTGAGGTGTCACAAATGGCACTTGCAAGGAATATGCATTTAACTCTTGCTAGTTATTTCCTTTTAGGGCATTTATTTAGTGTGGCTGTCTTCATTTGGCAAATTTCCCCTTTCTCTTATTGTACCTAATCTTTTCTTTTTTCGTACCCTTATAAACTTTATAAAAAGTAATATAGCTTGCCTCCTACACATCCTTCAAAACATAGGGCAATAGAATATGCCTTATAGGCATTTGCAAACTTCTAATGAAAATCAAATTACATTTGAACATGTGCTCTGACACTTGAACAAATGGAAATGAAAATACTTTTATACTTGAAAATACTTCTAATGAAAATGGAAATGCTTCTACACTTGAATGTGATTTTATTTTTTTACCCATCCTACAATATTAACAAGCAGCCCTTTTACAATATAAACAAATACTTGCAAGCTATATACTTTATATCAATCAATCTGTTCCCACCTATGATAATGGCTTCTTTATATATATATATATATATATCTGTGTGTATGTGTGTCACAGGGGCATGCTTAACTCCAAGCCAGGTATGCTCAAAGTTTTTCTATTGTTTTGCACTTACTCTTCTGTGTTCCCTTGCAATATGAACCTATTTTAACCTCCAAAAAGGACGAGTGTGAAAAGCTGTTCTACAAGACCACGCAAATTGGTGCCACCCGTGGTAGCTTGACATCACTCTTTATTTCATCCTTTATGACATGATGACACACTGAAAAAGGGCTCAAAGCTTGGAATTAGTTCTTCACCCAAAGGATTGCTGCAATTTTCTGAATGATGCTGCTCGCTGTACAAAAAAAAGATACTCTCTTCATGAGAGAGTATACACATGACCAAACGACTTGGTAATTTCACATCAAAGAATTAGGTGCTTTTGATTTGCATATTCTCTTATCATCATCACTGCATGGTTTCTAAAACTCTCGCAGTGGCAGATGGCACAGCACTGGCTAGATAGGCAAGAAGAGGAAAGGTATGTGCCTGAATTGACAAATAATTTATTTGCCAAGCTTCGAAAACCTCACACAAATCCTGAACAAGAATCCATTTCCAGATAGCATTGGAAGATTTTAGAAGACTGATGTAAAAAAAATTGTATGAGGAGACAAACACAACCTTTGATGGCGAAAGATATGATGACTTCACACAAAACGAATTTCATTTCAGGCTATTCATTTTCCTGATTCTGATGTCCATTTATTCACTTACATTATCTTTTCTGTCACATCTGAATGTTTGAACTGGCAGGAGTTACCGAATATGGCAAAAATTTGAAAATAAAGACAACCTTTTTTATTCTTTTGCTTTCCCCGTTTCGATGAACATCACCACTATACACGCGGCTCAGGCAAGAAGCTATGTTGAAAATAAAGACACGTTTCTATGAAAGAAAAAAGCATCACCACTATACATGCAGCTCAGGCAAGAAGCTTTCATGTTGTATCTCCTGAGGACGTGATCAAACCACTACCCAGGATGGCAACTTGGGCAAAGTGATTGAAGTTCTTCAAAGTCACAGAGTAGTCTGTGAAGTATGGGTCGTGTGAGATCAGAGCCAACAGTAAAACTCTCCGTCAATGGTAAACTATACCTTGACGAGCTGACAGAGTCTCTGCATGGGAGGAGACAAGTTTTGCTTTGGACAAGCAGCAATGCCTCAAGTAAGCAAAAAGCATCACCACTATTGGCTCAGGCAAGAAGCTTTCCTCTTGCATCTCCTGAGGACCACTACCCAGGATTCTCATTGCCTACCATGAATCCTGCAAATTTAACTTTTGCAAAATTGTAAAACAGTCTCAAAAGTAAATCTCAAAAATAGAATAGAGCCCTTAGAACGACTTCCACAAAGCAAATCTTCTCTAAAATCATGTTATCATTAGTATAATGTTCAAATCAAATAAATTTGATTTGTCATGTAATTGTCCAGAAAAACAAGAAATAACACCTTGGAATGCCACTCAATAACATTCCTCTGCTGTTATGTTGAGGCTGTCAATAATTACTAGGACCTACTACGTTCTTGGTGGAACAAGATTGTCCCTGACTCCC